TTTTGATTTTTTTGGATTTTTTTCGTTTTTTTGCATTTTTCTCCCTTTTTCTTTAACGAAATTTAACGGACAGCTGGTAAAAATTAACGAACCGGATTTAACGGACCGGATGGCATCTTTGAGTGGCCACCTCTACAACATCAAAGCCAATGTATTCGACCTTACTTCTGAAGAAGTCACATTTTAGTAGTCGCCTAAAGAACTTCTTCAATTGGAGACTATCCAAAACTACCTTGATATGTTACAAATGTTCTTCCTTGGTACGATTGTATAACAAAATATTGTCTAGGAAGTGATGCAGGGAGCTTCGTTGCTCCCGCAGGCGCACAGGTCGGATGAACGGGGAGTCAACCAGACCCCCGAGGCATGACATTAAAAGGCTTTGATTGTACATCATTTAAATTGTCCGTTTGATTGTCCTTTGCACCCGAGTGTTTCACAACTCATTGAGTTGAACTCAACCCTTAGGTTGCTATCAATTAAATGTTTTCATGTACTACATCTACGAAGCAACCATATCAGGAAGACTAGTATGAACTAATCAAGGCCATCTCTATGTAGATGATTCGTGACCCGCTGAAAGGTACCTGGCGCCAGAGGTGGGCCGTCCCGGAATGGGGACGGACTAGGAACGGGGACGGGAATGGGAACGGGGACGTACCAAAGTACATTCTTGTCCTTGGACTGGCAGGCTCAGGAAAGGCCAAGGAACGACCCGTCCTTGGGCTGGAAAGGACTTGGGACGGATTTGGAACGGTGTGCAGCTATCCCAATTCCGTTCCAATGTAGTACAACCTACCTAGGAGTCCATTCATGTATTGCACATGGCAGTCAAAACTCCATTCCAGGCCGGTCCAGAGTCCGTTCCAGGCCATTCCAAAAGCCGTTCCATTCCATCCTAGAGCCCGTTCCAGAGTCCGTTCTGTATTATTTCATAATAACAACAAATTAATGTGTGGACTAATAAGAATGCAGCGATCAGATTTGATGCGTGGGCCGCGCACCCCACGGTCCACAAACATAGTGTCCCTGGCCCCCTACTGTGCAGTTTGCGCTTATTGCGATGGGTGGCAAGATTAAGTAGATGCAACGGCGGCGGCTTCTAAAGGCTGGGGAGTCCCACCCCCCGGCCCAAAGTCACCAAGGCGGCACCCCATAGCATGAGGTAGGGGATGCCCGGGGCCAGACAGAGGGGCACCCAGAAAGGTGGTCACCACCCCCCCAAGGAGAGGGATTTGGGCATGCGGGGATGGCGATGGTAGCGGCAGGGGGGGAAGGCTAGGGGGCATTTATCGGCGTCAACGCCCTGCTCCCGGACCTGTTCGACTATGCAATTTGAGTCTTTTTGTGCAATTGGTGCTAGTCACTGAAACATGCACTTCCTTCCTTTTTGTCTCGTGCCTCATGGGGCACCAGCTAAGCGAAGCATATACTAAGTTGTCTTTAATGTTTTTCATTTTACCATTGATTGGCGACCCGAACATTGGCCATTGAAAGCTTGACAAAGCACCGGCCAGACACATTCAAGGGGAAGATGGACGGTATCCAGCACAGCCCTGCTTGTCGTCCCTCATCAGCGAGGGCCAAGGGGCTGGCAAATCATTCCATTGTATGTACTGTTGGGCCGCCCTTGCATGTCAAGAATTGTCCCATCCTTCTTTTGCTGATCGCCAAGCCATTGTTTGTATCAAGGCTCGGTCTATAGAACATGGCGCCATTGCGGGGGTGCTCTGCTCAAGAAGTCCTGCAACAAGAAACCAGTGTAATCAGCATGTCAGTTGTGGAATACCTGGAATCCCCATCAACATATCGTCACGTCCGACACCGCACGTTCAAGCAGCCCGACAGATCGTAACATCCTAAATCTCCGAAATGTCGAAACACCCGCAACATCGGCATGTCCGAAACGTCGAAACACGAGGCGCCACAAACGGGTCCGATGTGTCGGCGTCGCGCCAGGAGACAGGAGACAGAACTCTCCCGCGATCCTAGACCGAAGTCGCGTCAGCCAGCGGGGCAGTCACCCAGAAGACGCCCGCCCCTCACCCCGCGCCCAGGACAGTCACCCGGAAGGCCTCCTTTCCCCTGTCCGGCAGCCGGTCGGGGAAGCCGGCGCCGCCAACTTCGGTCGGGCCGGCCTCGGCGGCCGCCGTTTCATGAGGCCCACGTTCCCCCATCCCGGCCATCAAGGTCCCGTTAACGCCATTACACGCCCCGGCCCCGTGTCGGGCATCCGGGCCCCGGGTGCGAGTGGGGGACATAAAACGCACCGTGGCGCCAACCTGCGGCGCGCTTCCACATTCCTGTCCGTCCATTGACCATTACTGACTGGCGCAACGGAGACTCGGCCGCCCTCAAAGCCGGCCCCCCAGGGTCTCCCCCGCGCCGCCGGAGGGCCGCCCAGCGCCCCGAGCCCATGGTAAGCCGGGCGCCGGCCCGCTCGCCTGGGCCCGCCCATCGCCCCAGGCCGCCCCCGGGCGGTCACGGCCCCCGGGCACGCCACACGCACCCCGGGCCGATAGCTGGCGATACGATCTTCCGCCCGCTCGGCGTAACGGGCTGCCGCAGCCGCGGAGCGTCACGGCGTTTCGCGCAGGGCTGCGGGCCGGCGCGCGTGCGCTGCACGTCCGAAAAGAAAGTGCGTCGTCGGAAGTTTGTGGGCGCGAAGGCTGCGGGGATCGATCTTGTCGCTTATGTAGGGGGGGCGTGGGGGGGGACTGGGTGGAGGGGCGCGAGGAGTGTGGGTCGAGTCGAGCAGTGCAAGTCGGTTGCTAGGGCCCCCTGCGCTGGGACTTGAGGCTGCTGAGCCACCTGAGACCCGTTTCCGGCGCGGGAACCCTCGTGCCGGAGCCCCGCCTCGAGCGAGCTCCCAGCCTGGTTAGTAAGGCGGCGCGGGCGCCTGGGCGGACGCCGCGGGCACTCTGTCAGTGCTGCGGCCTGGCACGGCGCCCATCCGCCCGAACAGCTTTTGGCGGGCGGGGAGGGATGTCACCCGTTGGTGCCGCACGTTGTTGGTGGGGCTGCTTGTGGGAGCGACTCGCTCGCTGCGATGGTGGGAACTTGGCAGGCGTGCAGCGGGCGCCGCCATTCGACCCCCCGCCCAGCCGCCTTTTTCCCGCAGGTCGTGGCGGCGCGCTGCAGCCTTACACGTAAGGTCGCGTCGATAGTGGTTCCGGAAGGCTGAGGCGCGGCGCGACGGTGTCAGGGGCCCGTTGCGATCGTTCAGACGATCGCATGGCGCCCGTCGGCCGGCGCTGGCGAAGGGTATTTGCAGGAAATGCGGTTTTCGCTGCCGGTGTGGCGGGGCGGTCTGACGGGCGGATGCACGTGTGACGTACGGAAGGGAAGCTGAAGGGTACCGGTACAGATTGGCATGGCCAGGGGCGCAGGGTGGCCTCAACCTTCGGACAGCGGCGCTCGCCTGCCCTTTTGAGCCATCGCCGGCTCGAGAACGGTTGCGAAGTCGCTTGATCCGTCGACCCATGCTGTCGCCCGGCACGGCATCCCCTGTTGCCCATTCCCAGGTGTCAATATGACAGTTGTCCGGTCGGCCTACGGGGCGGATTTCTGCGCGTCTTTATACGCAATTTGACGTGCGCTGATCACGAGGCTGCCAAAGGGAGGCCTGCGGCCTGCCCATCAGGTCGTGCCTATGAGCCTGAGCCTCTGTGTTGCGCTCACAGGAGTACTCGGAGGATGCCTCGTCGCTGGCCTCGACGTCAGCCACCTCCTATGGCCTCCTGGAGGAGCGGCCGGACGGCAACGGCAACGGCAAGCGGCCCAAGGGTGCTTGCCTGCGCGATGCGAGCTCATCGGACCTACCCGGCAGCGTTTCCGACCTGATGAGCAGCTCCTCGGACGGCAACATGTGCGGGTACAGCATCGAGGAGGCGCTCAACGCCGCGGGCCTGGGCAAGTTCCAGTGGCTGCTGATGCTGTACGTCGGAATGGCGTGGTTCGGGGACGCCATGGAAATGATGCTGCTGTCTTTCCTGAGCCCCGAGGTGAGCATCGGCGTTTGCATCAATTTTTGCAGGACATGCATTTGGCCGCATGCAGGCGTTTTCAGCAGCAAGGCTATATCGGGCCGACTTTGGCAGCCTGAACAGTGGTTTATTTTCTGTGCATTGCTTGTTTGTGTCTGTTAATCGGCTCGCATGGGTGTCCAATGCACCAAATTCGGGCGGATCGCCCTTTTCACAGCATCCACGATGATCTTCAACTTTTGCTAGTGACAGCCTCGCCCCACAACTGTTAAACAGAATGTAACAGAATGCAGGTCCTTAGGCTTTGTGTGTTGTGAACCAGATTGCATGCAACTATCTCAAAATCTATCTTGAACATGAATTACTCCCTGATTTAGCAAGTGTTCTGCGTATGGAGGTCTGCTTGAACTCGCCGGTTGTTTCATGTGGCAGGTGTCATGCCAGTGGGGCCTTTCTGGCTCCCAGGAGAGCTGGATTTCCAGTGTTGTGTTCATTGGTATGTGCTTCGGAGCTTACACGTTTGGCTCACTGTCTGACGTGATGGGTCGGAAAGTGGGAATCTTTGCAACAGCGGCGTTCACATCGGTGATGGGGCTGGCAAGTGCAGCAGCACCAAACTATGAGGTGAGTCTTGGGTATTGCCATGGCCGATGTGGCATTGCATTAGTGTGGCAGAGTGCGTTACTGCTGTTGAACACAGTGATGGACCTGAGTTTGCAGAGGTGTTGCATAGCTAAATTTGTGTGGGCAATCGGACAAGCAGAGAGCATGGATTGGTGATGTGGCTGTCCAATGCCCATTGCCCACCCTGCGAATCTGTCCTTGGTGACCTCTAGTTGCTTCTTTGCACCCATATTTTGTCATTCTGAATTGCATGCATCTGCACCGGCAGTGTTGGTACGCTGACAGCATCCCAGTATCTACCTATTTCTGTCAGTTGTTGGGTATGTTTAGTCTTCTCTTTGTTGTTCTCCTCAAGCGTCATGATTGGTAGTTTGGGACGCTTGACAGAATAGCACTTGAAAGCAATTATTGAGTGGCTAGCACTAGGGTGAGTGATCATCGTGTTAGTGCACCAGATGAATCTTGTCACAAAATAGAACTCGTTCAGTTGACAGTGGCTAAGGGATGTTCTGTGTTTTCAGACATTGCTGTTGTTCAGAGGCCTGGTTGGCGTTGGACTTGGTGGTGTGCCTGTGGCATTTGCCATGCTGGCAGAGGTCACACCCGCCAAGCACCGTGGTACCTTTTTGATCATCATGGAGATCTTCTGGTCCCTTGGAGCCGTCTTCCAGGCAGGCGTTGCTTGGTGGATTTTGCCCCGCTGGGGATGGAGGGCTCTGCTTGCAGTCTCAGCACTACCACTGAGTAAGTCTCCACCACAAGAGTTGAAAATTTCTTGTCAGAGAAGGAATAATGTGGGTAAATGATTGTCAATGAGGAAGAAATGTCACATGATTGGCACCGGCAGCTATTGCATGTTTTAATTTCTTTGCTTGGCCCTCCAAAGGGCTGAACGTTTGTTTGCAACATTAACAAAGCTTATTGCAACAAAGCCCCAATGGGGCTTTCCCTCTATTATATGAAATTCCCTATAGTGGATTGCTTGTAACCCAGTGTGGGTAGCACTTAATATGTCGATTTTGGCAGAATTAGTTAAACAGGTGCTGCTTGGATGTTATCCTGCTGTGGTAGCTTGGTTTTGTGATCCTGCATGTTGGGGTTGTCCGTTGGCTGTCAGCAACAGAAGCACGAGGTTTTGGGAAGCTTGGGCCATAATATGTAGTGTTGGGTTCCACGGCACACGCTGCAGAGAGAATAGTGGCCCTGGAAACCTCCTATCCCAATGCCAGCCCTGTTGTTTACAAATCCGTGGGTTTGAAGCTGGCAAAAGGGACGGATGTTTCGTGGGGCCTTGTGTGAATTGATGCCCTGGATTCACCAACTGATGGAGTTCTTGTCTTGTGGTATTCTGATACCCTTGTGCAGCACGAAGCTATGGATAGGACTGCCCAATCTCAACTTGTATTCCCATCTGTTGTACACCTTATGGCTCTGGCACTCTCGTGTGTTCCATATGTTCTGAGTATGTGGCAAACATTGTGCCCCAGTTTTCCTCCTTTTCTTCTATCCCATCATCCCCGAGTCTCCACGGTTCCTGGCCTCCAGTGGCCAGAGGCAGGCAGCGATAGAGGTGCTTGAGAAAATCGCGAAGACCAATGGCACACAGCTGCCCTCTGGGACGCTGACCACTGTGGCCCACAAGAGTGACAAGTTTTCTGGACTGAACGAAGACTGGTTGGCAGAGATCATCGGCCAGTTCCCAAGGTCAGTGGGATTGATACTGCTAAAATGGTGCTTAACTTAGTACCAGAGCTTGACAAGAGGCTGTACAGCATGGAACAGTACACTGTAAACAGTGAAGCAGATTATTTGCAGCATATCAAACATCTTGCTTGCGAGTTGCCAAATGGCACCTCGCACTCAATATATTTGGTTGGGTCACATTTGTGGCATGAAAGGCATGCTGATGTTTTACCTGGTGACGGGTGAAGAATGAACAGCATACTGCACACATCCAAGCAGTTAACATAACAGTGAATGGTCAATACTGCTCCTACAGGAACAGTGACTAGGAATATGGTTTTCCCTTGAAAAGCAGTCCTGCGTTTGGAGGCCAGGGTGTCATTTTGTTTCCTCACATAAGAGCATAGCATAGCTCGTGGGTTGATCACAAGGTTCCCTTGTTGTGGAGTGTCTGCCTTGACAACTTCAACACTAGTTGATGTGGTGCTGTGCCTGTCACAGTGCAATTGAGAGCATGGATTTGTGCACTTGCCTCACATGTTCCCCTCGGCATCTCGTTGTTCACTATGCCCACTATTGTAATGCAGGTGCCAACCGTATCTGCGTTTTATTCTTCCCTTGTGCTGGACAGGTGTATCTGTGGCTGTCCATTTTATGGGAAACACTTTTTGGTCCTGGACCAGCTGGTATACTCATATAATAGGTAACACATTCATTGCACATACATACATCATCATCTTGGTGATGCACTTTTTGATTGCAGATTTGCAAACTAGATACATTCAAAGATATGGTCATAGACTATTCGCAACAAAGGCACCCTCAGCAAACACCCTGTGTAAGCTTGTTGTTGGCAAGGCCTTTTCTGCATATGTAGTGCTAATACCCTCGATGGTTTTCTAAGGATCTCTGGAAGCTGACAAATTGATCTGATTGCAGGGACTGGGTTGTGACAGTATTGCTGTACTGACAGTCCTCAGCAGGACTGTCAGTGTCTGGGAACCACACGCTGTCTCGCCGCGACCTGTTCTCATGCCTTTGTCGCTGCCAGCAGTGCAGGAAGTAGTGCCAACAGCACTGGGCAGTTCCTGCATACACCCCACACAATAACTCCAGTGAGGTGTATTGTCAACAGTGCAGTTCTCGAAAAAGATTCCAATCAATGCTAAAAGCTCATCATACATTAGCAGGCATACGGAGGCAATTGAATGGGTGTTGCGCTGCACAGCAATTGCTACAGTGCAAAATCTGCTGTATGCACCATGCCTTGCTGGAATACTTTTGACTGAAATTACCTTACAATACTAGACAGCTGTCAGTACATGGTCTTCAAGCCAAGGGGAAGCACTTTTATGCAATGGCCAGTCTAGACGACAGAGAGTAGTAACTGGTGCTTTTGGGAACATTTCTGAATTGTACATGTGCGCCTCATCAAGAATGTGTTCACCCCATCTCTTTGCCCCTTGGTATGCCAGATACACAGCTTTTGTTCCAAGTATAATTGAAAGAAGTCTCCCATCTGTTTCATTCCAGCCATGTCCAGCAGGTCTATGCCAACAGTGTTTACTTAACATCAAGGTTTTGGTGCCTGCTAGTGCATGTCACGGGCTGCAGGATTAGCAGCTGCATGCCTGTGGATAAGAGTCCTAAAAACCTTGCTGACAGGTAAGGCTGGTTGTCAGCAAGTTGGTGGATGTTTCTGCAGAGTTTGCAAGATCCACAATGAGAACAACCAAGGCACAGATACTGTGATGTCTGTTGTTCCTTGTTCCAGCAAACCATTGGGCAAGAAACATGACATGAACAAGGCCCCTAACAAATCAAAGCAACAAAGAACATCAACCCCCTACCTACCTTTCTACCTATCCTATCTCCCAGGGCGAGGAAGGGTTTGGGGTGGCTGCGGGGGCAGGCCAATAGATACTGTGGTATGTTGCCGTGAAGATGTGCAGATATTGCCAATGCATACACAGAAATAAATTGGCACACACAAACATTGGGCACACAGTGAACTGATTGGTATACTTGCCACCATATCTTACCTGGAATTCATGAACCACTCAAAAACAGAGTGTGTCATCAAGACTAGCATGGAATTTCTATTCAACTGCTGATATTGCAGGCAACTGCTGTGTAATCCAACAACAGAAACAGCCATACATGACCCTGAGCAGTTCATTAGCTGATGATGGCGACACATTCAACACAGTACTCAACAGCATGTGCTGTTGTGTTGGTGTGCGAGACCGCCTCCAAGGCTGAACAAAACTAGTGAAACAGAAATTATGCTGAAAAGGTGCAAGAAGGTCCAATGGCAGCTGACAGGAATATGAGAACAGTAGACCATGGCGGTGCAGGGTTTTCTCTTCCATGGCAGATCCTGACCCCAGAAGAGCATGCCTCATCAGTTCATGTTATGCTCAGGTTATTTTCCCCATCCCTCTGGTCTACAACAATGGTAGTCTGGTCCTTGTGGTTTGCTTCTGCGTTGGGCTACTACGGCGTCATCCTGATGACAACAGAGCTGCATGCGGGCACCTCAGGCGCATGCACATCGGGCATCTTCACCTTCGCCGACGGGGACTACTCGTCGATCTTCATTGACTCGCTGGGAGAGCTCCCGGTGTTTGCTGTAGCCTTGCTTGTTGATGTTGTTGGACGAAAATGGTGAGTGTGTGTCCCCACAGATTGCCGGAAGCGCTGTGTCCTGCCACTCCATCATCAGTGCCCATTGTTGTGCTCCCTTCGGCACGGGCCCCGGCCCCTTGTGTGCATCGCCAGGTTGGCTTGCAGGGACTCCAACGTAAGCCAAGGTAAGCCAAGGTAAGCCATTGGGAACTCGGCCCACCATGTGGTGTTGTGGAACAGATGACCTCTTGTGCAGGATACAAAACATCACTGGTAAACATCGCCTTACATACAAGGGAGGAAAGCAGAAAAGGGGCTGTGGCTTTGCAACGCCATATCATATTCTGACTGCTTTTGCCACCGTATGTGGCCAAGCATTGTGGGGCGTGGCCCAACTCAGTAACTTCGCCAGTAGCCACAATACTGTTAGCAGTAGACAATGTATCTTATGTTGCGAGCAATTGCATTCCTTGGCTGGCTGTGGATGTAGGAGCTTCAAGCTGCTTCAAGAATGGTTGCACTCTAGGGTGCATAAATGTGCAAACCACACTGGATCTGTTGACTGCATGTGTGAATATTATGATACCATATGAATTGCCACATGGGGCACTAGCAGCATTGTTGCATTCAATATGACAGTGACGAAAGCAGATCCACAAACTAGCGCGCAACAAGTATGTGCACATGTGGGCATTTTGGAGCAGTGGTCTCGAATACCTCTGTTTAATCCATGAAATGCACTTTTCGTCCTGCACTATTACTGGAGTGCATTGTGTGGTAATATGAGTTGGACACGACACGTGCAGCTGGAGTGTGCTGTACCCACAAGAATTTGCTCAGCACAGCTGTCCAAGTCACAAACATTTGCAGGCAAGGACTGCTGTGTGTACCATACTGATTTCCCTGCTTCCTTGGCTGCGAAATTCATCTTATTTTGATACCACTGTTTCAGAATATGGCGTTGGTGAGAACATGTGGGGAAGAATGGAAAGTACAACACAAACGTTGGCTAAGAAATATTGCCTTGAAGCAGGGGCAAAGTGTTATTGCCTACTACCGGAAAGCACAAGCATCAGGCCGATGCGAAGATATGGGTACCGCACACTCCATATAGTACAGTATGTTGGTTGAGTTGTAGCATGTGGGCACATTTGCAAGCATGTTGCCCCTGAAATGCAAAGAGCACAGGTGTCTAATGCACGATGCAGACACAGTACTGGTGGCATGATTGTGGGAGCTAACATGGTGTGTTGCACGGAATACTGCAGGACAAACCTGGGTTGACGTAGTAATAGAGCAGTGTATGCACAGATGAATAAGTTATCCCATAGTAGCAACAGCCTGATGGCGTGTAAGGTGTGCCTGAACATGTGAAACCAGATAAGTGCCTTGTAAGAGCATAAAGCTCACAAATCCCAATGCAGGTCTGTATTTCGCTGTGATTATTGGACTTAATCATGATGATCACGAATTGGACCATTTTATTGCCATAAATTATACAGTTGTATCAGAAAGCTGCTTTTCTTGCTTGTGCTTCAGTCGTGCTTATCATTCTGCTATTCATATTCCTCATGTATTAATTGGGGGCCCACTTTGTGTCGAATCCATCAATACCAATCACAGACTCAGCGGTGGAGGTCGCTGTCTATCTAGTTGTCTATCCAGCTGCCAATCTACCCATGCAACGAAGTGCTGCAACAGTTGTGCTCAAACATGGTGATTATTGATTTCGTATATCATGCCACACCCCAAGGCAGTCATGTATTTGACTGTGGATCAGTACACTGGATATCAGTGCACTGTATGCCAATGACAGCAGCAACTGGATGTCCAGACATAAATCTTTTACCCCTATGAAAAGCGTGTTCATCCACTTCAAGCTCTTTGTTTGCTGACATCTATTGGACTGGCATTAAATGTGAGACTGGTGAGTTCCAGTGCCTTCCATTGTTTGGCACTGTGGCAATATGGAGTCAATGTTTTGTGATGGTTGTGACATCTATTTGTGCTTGAGTTTCTAACTGAATTCTTGACAGGATCGTGTCATCATGTGCGCCCCGTGTGTTGGGAAGCTCGCCCACACTGGTTTCATTTGTATGTTTCGTTCTCCCCCATGCAGCGAATGTGCCCACAGAAAGGGCCAAAACTACTGTTTTGTGGGTTGACACCAGTAGGCTCCTGTGGCTTGCAGAGAGCCCCAGATCAAAAACAGCCACTTCTGTCCCTGAATTTGTTTTTTGGTTGTGTGTTTTCTTGTACTGTCCAATAGGTCGAAACCAGTAGGCTCCTGTGGCTTGCAGAAAACCCCGGATAAAAAATGCCGCTTCTGTCCCTGAATTTGTTCTTTAGTTGTGTGTTTCCTGGGAGGTCAACCAGCCAGATTGTCTGGTCACTGGTTGGGCCGTACTGTATATACCAATCCGGACTACTGCTGCAAAATGGAGCAGCAACACTTGCTACACCATCTGCAAGGTAGCCTCCAGCACCTGCATCCATTGAAACAGCCCTTGGTTCCACTCCTGGAGAACGTTGTAGAAATTGTCTGCTATTCTGTTGGTGACTGAAAGCCCCAGATATGTCTTTGAATGTTGACCTGCCGTTATCTTCAGCAGCCAGGGGTCGTGGGAACATCACGCTGCCGCAGATCTGGTGTTCTTTGAACAGCTGGCTCTTCTGCCATGAGTTCAGTGCCGCAAGAGGGCTTCTGACAGGAGTTGCTGATCAAAAGGCTGAGAGGCGACTTTGTAGTTTTTGTGCTGAGGCTGCAGTCTCTCCAATATTTAAGATTTGTTGCTTACCTTGGGTCTAGTGTATATCAACTACTTAAGAGACTACAGCACCAACCAAGGTCTTGAGGCACAGCCTGCTGTATGGGCCATCGTTCCTGCCTCTGCGCTTTCTTTTTTCTTTCTTCTCTTGAGTTCGCATTGACGTAACGGGACAGGCGATGTTTGTGTGTTCTAGCTCTCTCTCATTGGAGGCGCATTGGATTTTCGCGGCGTCTGTGTGACCCGCTGCGCTGACGACTGTTAAGTACTTGCGCAGCAGTGAGCCACAAACACTGGATTTGCACTTTCAAGGTGTGCCATTGGCTCTGGAAAGTGTTGTGCCACTAGTAAATGGAGGGGTGGCAGCGAAAGTGGGCAGGGGTGGGGGGTGAAGAGGAGGAAAATAGTAGCGAAATCCAGAATGGGGAATTTGGGACTGTCCAAGGCAGCTGAACCTGCAGGCACTAACCGGTTATTGTGCATGTGCCTCCAACGCCAAAACTGATTTTCTGGATGTGTTCCTGTGGACCTGGTGGATGTGACAATATTTCTGTGACTTTAAATGAGCATCGCCACAAGAATCTCTGCGCTGACATACGCATGGTGTCCCTGCAAAGAACTTGGAATAAGATCTGTCGTCCGTGGCTGACCTCCCACGCCTGCCCCTGACCTTAACCCGCTGCTTGTGTGTCCTCCTCCTGCACAAGGGCGAACCACAAGATTCCACAAGGCATCCAGAATACGTGATGTTTGCTGATGGTTGTGTGCTTTGTCGCAAAATTTGCTGTGGATCCCGGTCAAGGACGTCTGACGCTCTTGTGCTGCACAGGCTGCTTGTTGGCTGCTTCCTGGCCAGCATGGTGAGTCTCAGCCCTCTGCTCTTCACCCTCGAGTACTCCACCCTGTCCCTGTTCCTGGGCCGGCTGTTCGTGGAGTCCGCCTTCAACGTGACCTATGTGTACACGCCCGAGGCTTACCCCACTTACGTGCGCACATACGCCCTGGGCGTGGCAAACATGTTTGGGAGGATCGGTGGCGTGATGGCGCCCTTCATCGCACAGGACGTGCTGCGAAAGACAACCGTCGTCGGTACCCCACCCACAGTGGCGGTGGGCATCTTCATGGGGATGTCCTTATATGGGGCATTCTCTGCAGGTATGATCCCCAGGGAGACTGCGGGCAAGGCGTTGATGGAGGACGACGAGGACGAGGATGAGTCCAAGGCTGAGGGCAGGGACAAGGGGGTGAAGCAGAGGCTGCTGGCAGCGCCTGTCGACATTGAGGGCGAGGGATTTGAGGGGCCCTGAATAGGGCAGAATACATACAGGCAATTCTTTGTAGCGAAGCTCGCAGCTGGAGGTAGGTGTTCGTGGAAAGCAGCATTTATTTGGGGATGGCGGTGGAGACGCTTGCCGTTTTTATAGTTTTGGGTTGGGGTGCTGATGGAGGCAAGGGGCGTTGTGCGTTCGGATTAATCGCCTTTCTTGTCGTTCGTGGTTGTTGGGGGCCTTGAGTTGCCTCGCCTGGGAGAAGGGTGTTCGTCGTGGATCGGCGGGGCTGGGAGGAACTGCGCACCCACAAATTCGATGGCAAACCTGGCAAGAACAAAGAAGAACAGCACCTGATAGATTCCCAAGTGCTTTTTCTTTTGGTTGGAGTGCCATGTGCGAGAAGAGAATCAAGGGCCGTGAGCTTAGGGCATAGAGACTAGTGCAACAAATCCTGGTGGTCCACAGTTGTAAGGGATGGACTTGGACACCTGACTGGACCCTGTTTTGTACATTGCTCAACAGCACCCTTGCGGGCAAGTCGACTGCCATGCGTGCTAAGGGCCCAGCAGCGCAGTACTGAACGGATAGACATGCCACCAGCACACGCAATATCGACCAATATGCACGTCAATATAGGGAATTTGTTGGACTCACAGTGCTCTGGGATGGGTCCATTCGCGGTTGTCCGTTTCTGCCTTAACGGTCCCTGGCGCCCGCCCACACATGTTTCACCACATGACAAGGTAGGTGACAAGACCTTTGGCAATATCCACGGCACATACAGGCATCTATGAGATGCAAAATGCGGATATTGGCAAGAAAAGTGGCATTGAAGACTTAACTTTGGGGTTCAGGGCAAGGAGGGGCGCGTGTGCTCTCTCGTGTCGTGATGGGATTGTAGACTGCAAGGTGAAGTTTGCTTCGGCATCGTTGATTGTCTCAGTTCCAATCACCTGGCAGATTCTCGCACGCCTGCTGACGTAAGTTCATAGACGGAGTCATTCATGTGCTGCACAGTACACAAGGTGTTCACCAAGCCAGCTCATTTGTGCACATCTTTGGAAGATGTGAGTGGGACTCCACATTTTCGCCCCATCTATGGATTCTCGACACCAAGGCAGTGTTCAGCTGGAGATTGTGTCAGCATAGTGCTGCTGAATTTTATGTTGAGATAGCCCAAATGCAGCGCACTGTTATCCAATATGCTGTGCAGTGCTCATGCAGTGCTGCATTTACTGATCACGTTGGTTAACCTGAACTGTTGCTCCCTTTGCATGTTTGATGCAATGGGAAGCGATCGGGACTGCCCTTCAGGGTACTGGTTGACGCCTTTTGGGGAAACTTGGAAACTGAACCCTCGAGGAAGGGTTTCAAACAAGCCGTTATGGGTCTTTTCATAGCTTAGACGTATGCTAGCATATCTCGATATTGTGGCAACCACGCATTTTACCAGCGTGAAAGGTCTTGAAATCCAAGTGGCGTGCAACTAAGCGTACCAAAATCAAGACAGTTTGGTCCGAAAAGATTCAGAGCAATACAAGCACTTATGTCAGCTCTACTGGACGCACAATCACTGCTTTTGTTCTCATCCACTGCATTCATGCTTCCTGCAACGGCAGCATGGCCAGGCCATCCCATTCAGCGGACAGCGACCCTTCAATAGACACCGTGGTCCTCCGGTCATAAATGACCGGCCCAATGAACGGTGGTTGTTGTGAGGCGCCACGCAAAATAGGTTCGGTTTCCCCATTTGGTGAACGGTGGGCATCATGGAGTTTACCATATCTGGTGCGAGGATGCAAAGCTGGCATGTGCGGCGGGCCGATGACGTGGACCTTGCCAGCATTCTCCCCCGGTCCCATTTAGGCGTGTTCTTTTAGGCCCCTTCGTTGCTAGTAGGTTAGCCTCGTCTTCACTTATGCGGCGGCCCCGAGGGCCCACCCGCATATCCAGTTGCTGGCACTGGCCCGTTTCTTTTGGGCGACGCCTGCGCGCTGGGGACTGCAACCTGTGAGCTGCGAGCGGCGGACGCAAGGACCGCCTCCAACCGCGGCGGCGGCTCGATGGAGCGGACGTGGCTCGACGTCCCGCGATTGAGACTGGCCACCCTTGGGCCTTCGCCCCGATTCCGTCACATAGGCGGGCCGACAATGGCCGGCTATTGGCGGGATGCCAAGAGGGCGTGGGCTGCAGGCGGGGACACTCTGATCCTGTGGGATCCCCGACGGAGGTGTGCGCCGGTCTGCTTCATTGTCCTGTTCTGCTTCTCTCCCAATCTTGAGGGATCTCCACTGTGGGCATTGGGGCCCAAGTCTGTCCAGCTGGACCGTCCCACGGTGTCAAGCTCGCGCTTGATCTAGCCCCTCCCGCCCCTCCAGATCTGCCGCTCAGGGGGCCTTGTCGCCCTGCGCTCTTTACAACTTAGCGGTTGGCGCGCAGCGATTGACGCGCAGCGATTGACGCGCAGCGATTGACGCGCAGCGATTGACGCGCAGCACTGTTTGCTTGGCCTTCCGGAGCCCCTGCCGGGGCGGTGGCGCGCCGCAAAAAAAAAATGTGTGTCGCTTCGCCGCGCAGGAAGCCGAGACGTGATGTGCATAAAAGAGAGAGGGAGATCCTCGCTGCGGCACCGATCGAGAACACCGAGCGGCCTGCCATGGTGGTGGCTACGGCTAAGGAGGTGCGGATCACGACATCTCTTTGCGATCGTGATCGCCGACTGGCCAAAACTGGAGGGCAGACACATACGCCCCACTGGAGAACAGCCTGTCGATCGCATAGTTGTATGTGAGCGACCAGAAATGTATGGGTGCCGTGTCAACGGCAGGGTGCGCAGGCGCACGCGGGCAGGGAGGGGGACGTGAGGGGGAGGCAGGAGGAGGGAGAGGAACGGAGGGAGCGGGGGGTGCGGGGTGGGGGGACTGCCAGCGTGGCAAATCGATGTCCACTACGAGGATATCGTGATATCCAATTAGGAATAGTGCTGCCCCTGCGCAGCGCGGGCTGGCACGGTGGCAGTAGTGGACACCGATTTGGCACGCACACTACGGCATTGCGATACACAGCATGTGTAGAAGCCCGTCCTCAAACCACAGTGTCTAATATCCACGCCTGTCCCGTATGTTGAGACAGATCCAACTGGTGGAAATGGCCGGCAACGGGGGCCTCGTGACTACAGGCTGCTTGGAAGTGGCCATAAGAGTGTCTGCCATAACCGCAAGCGGAGAAGGCCGGGTGTTCGTCGGTGACACTGATGGAAGCATCTCCCAATTGGTGATTGGGAAGCCCCCTGCAGCAGGGTTTGGCGGCCAACGCCAACCCTCGAAACAGCTCCACCTGGTAATTGTGATGGCCGCTGGCCGGGCAATATGCCTTCAGAGCAATAAAGGGCTTCATCATGGAACGTTTTTAGGAAATTCTCGTACCTGACGTAATGTTTTGTTGTATTTGTACTGCCAGTACTTCCATCACGGCGTCAAGCGGGATTCTTGGAGCGTTGTTCAGACAGGAGCGCCTCCTCGAGCGCGTGCTTGTAGATCTTCCCTGCTGTTGGTTAAGACGGGTCGTAGGGACACAGCAGGCTCAGGCAAAAAAATGGACCTGCACCACATTACGCTTCGCTGCTTGCCACCCAACCGCCTCCAAACTTGCACGGTCTAAACGCGCCGCTCGACGCATTCGATGCCCGCAACACCAGGTTGCAGACTTGCCTTGCGAGCTTGCCAATGACTCACCGCCTACTTGAATGCTCCCCTTCAGAAGCTCGTCACGCGCCGTCCACGGAAGTACATCGTCCCAGCTTCCAGTGGAGCACCCATCAGGAAGAGTCCATCCGGGGTTTCACACCTGGCCGTCGATGTCGGTCGTGGCAGGCTCATTGCTCTGCACAATGATGGTCAAGTGCAGGTACGCAATAGCACAGTCACGCTACGATGCTCAAGCCCACTGGGAAGCAACTATTTCCGCTCACATGCGAACTTCTTTGAGCCAGTTGAGACCCATGCAAGCATCCAGCTATAGAGCATTAGCTTTCGCCTTGTGAGACCACGACGTTTAGTTAAGACGAGCTTCCTTGCCAATGTTTCCTAAAAAGCAGAGGAATAATCTGCAACGCCATTTTGTGCATTTGTGAGTTGCAACCACCACGCAGACGCAACTCTCGTGTGTATGAATGTTCTGGAGCATGTGGCAATCCACAGCCAAAGCCACATCTTTACCCATGCAAGCGTTTGTTCAATTTTGGTAGTAAGTTCTTACTGTGTGCGATCATTTCTAATTCTCATAGTGAAATGCCCCCTCATGTGCACACATCGGCAGGCATTCCGTCTGGGACCCAAGGGCTCGAGACCGCTGTGCAAAATTGGAAATGGGAGCCTACCAATGCCTCAGGAGGACGGAAAGGAGGCCATAAACATACTCGTCCTGCGTGAGTTTCCATCCTTGCTTCGCGCCGGCAACTTTTTCAGGCCTCACATCAAAACGAGCCCAGCAAGCGCAGTGAAGATCTCTCAACTGTTCCCTCGTTTCACCATGTTTGGACATACTGGCCAGTGCAATAAACACAGTCCACCCCTCACTGCTTTCCACTCATCGTTTCTGAGAGGTGCAGATGGTGTTGCAGCGAAGGGACTCGACAAAGTGCACTTCTCGGTGGTTTGCGTTGATGGCACGCAGTATATATTCAAGCTTCGCGAAAATTGCCGCAAACGCAACTGCCCAGCCTGCGAGAAGGACAACATCGATTTGGTGTTTTCATCGGGGGCAGAGAGGTGAGTGTGGCACACGGCAAGCAAATCGAATTCCCACTGCTTTTAAATTCACCCAAATTTCATTGATTTGGCGGTCGAATGGAACTGATCTGTCCCTGCGTATGTGGCACAGTTCGGCGGCAACTGCAGGACCCGGCCTAAGCGATATGCACATGGAGGAAGAGGGCTGGGGGGTCAGGCTAGAGATGATACTGGCGGTCGGTGGCCAACTCTACGGTTGTCTGGAATACGGCAGGGAAGTTGGTAAGTTCCATCGGGGTATCGGTCAATTGCTGCAGCAATACGATTCCATCTGACATCGCTCCTGTTTTGGGCTCCACGGGTATGTGAAAATCTGCGAAGCGCCAGTTGCTTTTTGCATCCCAATCAAGAAAACACTCGTTCTGCCTATGTGTTCCACCACACGGCAAGAATTCACTCATATTTGACGATCCAGTTTGGAGAATTCAAATACAATTCATGCTTTTGGCTGTACACCTGCTTGCGACCAGATTCGTATGGAACGTTTGTATGATGGTGGTGATGAATCCGCAAAAATGCAATTTTCCGACATGTTGCAGGGTACCTTGTGGACCTTTCCCCATATGAAGAAGGCTACTTGTTGGTGGGGACGCATTGTTATGCGAAGGCATACAAGGCCAGAGAGGATGCGAACGGTACACCGGCGTCCCGGTCGCTCTGGACTCAGGAGACTGGGAGCCTTGCATCCCAACAGCAAAACATCAAGCCATCAGTGCCTTCCTGTGCTCAAAGGGCCCAAGCCGTTTCATGGCAAGTCCCGGATTTGGCAATAAAAGACCACCGCTATCTCCAATTGTCGTCACGTTACTCCTGCCATTTCCGTGAAAGGATGCCGAGCCCTGATGTGTTGGCTGAAAAGCTGACTGTATTCACACAGAAAATGTCTATCCAGAAATATCCATCGCTCGTACAACCGCATCAGATCAAGTAACTGATTTGGGCGCTCAGCAGCACAAGTAGCCTTTTGTCTGACTGCTTTACTGTTTTCCAATGACGCAGGGCGCCGTCAGATGGGGAGAACGCACTTCAAATTCCATGCTGCAGACCATGCCGACGGCGTAAGTGCCAGACGCACTTCCCACTCATTTCATCGCCTTGTTTCTGGTAACCGCTGCCGACCACGTCCGCAAAACTCGCAGCCCCCGGGCATATCCCAAGACGCCAATATGCCTTCATGAGTTCTATGAGCATTACGTACGCAGGCTCCCGGCAGCACCATCCTACTTGAATCTCGAATTGCTTCTTCCCTAACCTGCTTGATTCCTGTTGCTCCTGGCAGGGAGGAGCTCCCATTCGAGCAACAGCCCTGGAAGGCTGTCCGGGCCCACCCGAAAAAGAAAAAGGTGAGGCGAACTCCTGGGCCTGTGCCTTCAACGCGATCGATACTTTGAACAACGTTCTTGACAACTTAGGCGACCCATTGCCCCCGCAGTACAGCTCAATCCCTGGCTCAGTGGCCTCGTAGCAATGTATGTGTTGCTGCTGTCATTACTCAGGTCGCGTGTCCACGTGCGCAGGCCAGATGAAGGTGATGAAATGGCACAGGAAGATTTCATCATTGGAAGAGACAATTTGGTGCTTTGGTCCCCGGAACCTGAACGCAATAGACTGCGCAAGAGGAGGCGCGATGACCATATCTTTGGTCCAAGAAGCCCCCGGGACGAGCGGCGGACAGTGCTCATAATCTCCTGAATCGAATTGGTAAGTCACTGACATGTGGTACATCTATATATATGCACATATTCTTTGGCTGAAATCTCTGTAAAAAGAAGTGGTTCGCAAAGGTAACCGACTCCGTTTGGAACTTCCAAAGTGCAGGAGAGGGGTGCGGTCAACTTTTTTCAAGCGCTCATAAGATTTGCGAAAGCGTGGCAAGAGCACCGGCACATCATGAGCAGCCCCTGAGATGCTGGTATACTCACGTGGATATCAATTCCATGTACGTCTGCTGAGAAGCTTCGTGATGTTGCAGAGAAACAAGCAAGTGCTACCCAACTCCACACCGCAATACAAACGTGCATACATCATCACTAGTCCAGCAGCCAGCGCCACGAGCCCGGCAAGCACCCCCCCATTGAGCACAAGCGTACTTGCGCTGTGTGTGAAGCGATGCGGTGTCCTGTGTGCTGCGTTCCTCCAAGAAGCGTGACATCGTCGACAGAGCGTCAGTCAGGACGAGGCGAGCTCACCAAGGCTTCTGGTGTCATCTTGCCGATCGAATTCTTCTGCCTGCTCGGGGGTCCCGGCCATAGCCGCTCCCCCCCCCGGGGAGGGGACTTGGGGAGCAGCCCCAGTTCCCGCACTTAGCACTCCGTCGATGGAGACGTGTCGAGTTCAGTCGACTCGACAAAGGCTCTCGGCAGTGGCCTCGGGGGTGCTGCCCTTCTCATTTCGAGAAGGCCAAGGCAGGCGTCATCGGATTTGAAGGATGGACCGTACAATGCGCCGCCGACATTCCCGTGTACGGCGCGCGTGACGGTCCGAACGGGGGCGGAGGGCCTATGGCCGTGATGAAGCTCTCCAATTTCCTGTTGGCTGCAGGCTACTATGCAATTGATCTTTGGGGAGGAACATTTCGGAGGCCCGTACAGTGACGAGGGGCAGGATACGCCAACCAAACCAACACGTGATGGCTGCAAGCCCCAGCCTCCACCGAGTCTCACACTGCAAAAGGCGATCGATACAGTTTTGTCTGCCCGGCCGTTCTCGCTGAAATATCTGCGAGCTTCCCCACGGAGGACGGGGTTCGGATTGCATTCCGAATTCTTGCACTTTCCCCCCGGCGATCGAGACGAGGCACATGTGTCTGAGCATGTGTCTGTACAGGCTCCCGACGGCCCCCTCGGTGTGACCTTCCCATCTTGAGAAGGCTCAGGGCGGGTGTCATCCGACTGGAAGGATGGACAGTCTATTGCGCTGCCGCCCATATGTGTCTGGCGCGCGTGGCGGTCCGAACGGGGGGCGGAGCACCGATAGGCGCAGTGATGCCCAATCATTTTTTTTGGTGAAGTCGAGGGATGCGGAGGGAAGAATGAATGGGAGGTAGATGAAACGCGGAGGAACGGCATCCATCAGCTGAACCAAAGTGTCAGACACAACCGAACTTTACAGCCTATGGAGGCCATCATCGAGTTTTGTCTGCTCGGGGGGTTTCGCAGCCACAGATGTGAACCTCCCCTCGAGGAGGGGGCTTTGGGCGCTGCCCTGGTTCCTGCACTCCGCATGCCGGCGATTGAGACGAGGCGCATGTGTCTGAGCATGTGTCTGTACAGGCTCTCGCTGGTCCTCGAGGTGGTGCCCCTCTCATGTCGAGAAGGCCCAGGTGGACGCCGTCAGGTTGGACCGATGGACCGTCAAAATGCGCTGCCGACCACACATGTCTGGCGCGCGTGGCGGTCCGAACAGGGACGGAGCGCCAATAGGCGCAATGACGTCCAGTCATTTTTGTCTGACAAGATGAAGTCGGAGGAGATGGTGGTTGGAATGAATGGGAGGCAGATGAAACGCGGAGGACCAGCATCCATCAGCTGAGCCAAAGTGTCCGACGCGGCCGAGATTCACAGTCTATGAAGTTAATCGCCAAGTTTTGTCTGCTCGGGGGGTTTCGCAGCCATAGATGTGAACCTCCCCTCGAGGAGGGGACTTTGGGCGCTGCCCTGGTTCCTGCACTCCGCATGCCGGCGATTGAGACGAGGCGCATGTGTCTGAGCATGTGTCTGTACAGGCTCTCGCTGATCCTCGGGGTGGTGCCTCTCTCATGTCGAGAAGGCCCAGGTGGACGCCGTCAGGTTGGACGTATGGACCGTCCATGCGCTGCCGACCACACGTGTCTGGCGCGCGTAGCGGTCCGAACGGGGGCTGGAGCGCCAATAGGCGCAATGATGGCCAATCATTTCCCGCATTACATTTGGTGGGAGGAGCCGGCCGGCCGCCATGGTGGAAAACGGCACGAGCCTGGGTTTGTGAAGTTTCGGGCGACGGTAGATCGGAACAGCATGGAACGAGACCGCCCAATGACACTGCACGGCACAGCTCTGGCTCCGATAGTTACCACCCTGGAGCCAGACACCTGCCGATCGTGGATTTCTGGAGGCGTCGTTCGCACTTCCGAGCCCGAGGCAGCGGCTTCATGCCCATGGCGTGCCTGGTGATGCATTGACGTCTGGCGTCGCGGTGATGTGCTTGGGCGTGCGATATGGAATGGCTGGGGACTCCGCGGTGGCAGAAGGAAGGCGTTTCGGACATCCGTTGGTGCACACCCGCGCACCACAAATTAGGCGCTGGGCTACTGAGCAAAGGCGGGTGCTTTGGCGCTGGCTGCTGTGTCACTGGGCAAATTCTCTGTTGAGAGATTTTTCTTTGGGGTCGCACCTGGGAACGCACACTTCGTACATGGGCAACCTCATGTAGGGGCATATTGTCGCATGAGTGACCTGTTTTCGCCACTGTATTACAATGTAAGTGGGAGCGCTTGCTTGACTGCAGACTCAAAAGCCAAGGAAGCTGTTTGGCGCCTTGCGGGTGGCTGACGACCGCAAGGATCCAACTGCACGTGTGATGCATACACTGAAATACGATCAGCTTTGGAGGCGACTGCCCACTAGGCTATGGGCTATCTGTTGTGCCTGCGGGTGATCGAAACCCGCCACCCACATGGACATTGTGCCTCAAGTCCAGTACTTTAGCCCAGCAGTGCACCACCGCGGACACATAGCATAGTGTGGGCAATCGCCCAATCTTGCAAACAGGCCTCTTGAATTCCTTGTTGAAGACAGCGCCCCGGCGTTCTGAGGAACTCCACATCCGTTCCTGCCTAGGTCTATCACGCCGCCCACAGTGTCACGCAAACCCGTAACCAGCACCACAGGTGCTTCTCCCACCCTCGCAGCTCCCCTCCACCAACAATACCTCCCCACTTCTATCCATCCACAGCGGGCCGTGTTACCCGCATCGCACTAAATTCACCCACCCCAAGCGAGGGTTCGAGAGGTCCACTGTGTGCGTCCCGCAACCGTGAAAGAAGAGCCGCCACCTTCCCCTTTGGCGGCTCAGACCCCATGCCGATTGCCATCGCCCATGGTCTGCAGCTGTTCGTAACGGTGCTCCTCCTGTCCTGTGACCCAGCGCCTCAGCTGCAGCAATTACACCAGGGATAATCAGCGGTCATGCCGAGGAGATTCTATGTGTACGAACAACGTTGTTCCCACGCAATAATAACCATTCCATTGTGAATGCGGTCTCGACTCTTTTCCCTTTCTCTGGACATCGCTGCAAGCGCACTGCCACACAATACCCCATTGCGCAAAATTTCGGGAACTCTGTCAACCGTGGCGTGCTGCCGAGTTCATGCACCGTTGTGCACCAAACGTGGAGATGAATCAAAACCACTGGCCACTCGTTGTGGCTCTCGGGCACTTCTTCACGGTGGCGAACAAACAGAGTCAACTAGCAGCGGTGTCTGCGTGATATACAAGCAGAACACAGCACTGGTGGCTGCCCGCTCAATACCAAGACAAAATTTCAACAAGCGCTATAGTTTGCAGTGCTCGCAGCCTGCTGGGCCTCGTAGCTGCCGTCAAACACTGAAATGCCTTCCCGCACTTGCCAGCTGGATTCGAGTGTGGCCCGTTGTGAGCCAGCTTCAGTTCCACAGATAACATGCAATGCGTCACACCGCAAAGAGAATTCGCCCACGCCAGCATAGCAACCACCACATTTGTCAGTGCACTGATTTGATTGAGGGACCCTGCACTGTCATTCTCCCTGGGCCGTGCACAGTGCACAAATTGCTCACTGCTATTTTTCGCTTGCAGGGCTGTGCTGCGCGTGGGGCAGAGGTGAAAGAAGACGATGCTCATTGGCACATGCTCGGGCAGATGGCAGTCAGTTCATGCCTGTTGCCTGCTCACTCGCCATACCTGTGGCCCTCATTTGCGAGCCATGCAACAGCACAAGACAAGGCCATAAAAAAACTGCTATGGTCTTGTGCAATCGATCTTCGCAGCAGGGCTGCTGTCTCTTGTCATCTCTGTATCCTGATGGAGGGTCCATTTGTGCATTGCCAGGAGGGTGGTCAGTATCATCAGGTGGCTCTAGACTTAATTGATATGATGCGACTGGTACAGTAATCGCTAGACATCATGCATGCACTGATATGTACCCTGTTGCAGGAAACACATCTGCAATATCATGTTGGTTTGGAGGTTGCAGATGCCCACTGGACCAATAACACGAATAGGCCTCACCCTGGGGAAACGCCGATAGATCGCTCCTCGCCTCTTGTACGAGATGATTCCCACGATGATGGCCAACACAGTCACTGCAATCACCACAAGAGCCAATGTTCCAGCACTGCTGTTACGACCGCCGAGTTCTGCCTGTTTACTCCCTCCTGCATCATAGGAAGTAAGAACTCTCACATCCAGGAATGTGGTAACCATCACTACAGGATATTCTTTCCCGGGTTGGGCACGATGCAATATGGAATCGCCATATTGAGGCAACTGGCGAGTTTGACGTAAGGAACTAGCACAATGAGGGAAGGAACTTAGGAATCAGGCGGGCAGCACACCACATTTTCTGCACACTGTCCCACCAGATGCGCTGCAAAGCTCCCCTATCTGGGAGCCTCATTGCTGTCTCCACAAGGGGAATGCCATTTTCACACCCACATTTCCCTTTTTGTGACCATGTGTACCAAGCAGCCATCACTGAACCAACCCATTGGCTTCAGGTGCAACTTGTGAATGCTGCGATGCAAAAGTCCTGCCAATTCAGCACTTTCGCAAGCTTCTATCAGCTGTTGCGTCCGTCCAGTTCTCCTGTACAGAGCTCTGGCACACTGCAACCAGCAGTTCATGTGCCTGGCACATTGTTCTTGCACTGTGGAAGTACCTGTTGCCTCCTGAAGCTTTATGGCACTGCTGTAGCCCTCTTTGGTCACACAGTCAGAGGGGCTGGCCTGGGTGCATAGCCAGCCTTCTTCAACAAGGCAGTCACTTGCACAGCCATCCCCATTCTCTGTGTTTCCATCGTCACACTGCTCAGGGCCTTCCTGGATGCCATCTCCGCATCTTGAGAACATCCGGACTACCTGGAAGAGAATCATGCCTGTTGTTGAATTCGCTGAGCAAGAGTACGCACATAGGCAAGTCCACTATCATCATTTGTATGCCACAAAAAGGTAAAAGGCAGAGAATTTAAGGACGAGGTGCAAACAATTGTATTGATATACTGTCTACACATCGTTGCCGTTTAGGTTCATAGGCACTGCCTGCCTTACGATTTTGAAGGCCACGCAGTCAGGACTTTGGCATCAATTGTTTGCACGGTGCTGTGCATATCTTTGAATACAAACAGCAAGGAGTCCCAAATGCATTCAGTACAGATGTACACATGTTCGTCACTAATGACAAAACATCTATCGGGCAGCATTACATGCCATACCATCTTTTGCACATGCTCAGCACTACTATTGCTGTATTTTGTATGGAAGCCAACAATGCAGGTTATGATCAACATACAGTTGATGTATACACTGACTATATACAGTGGATATTTACAGCAGATATGTTTGATATCCACAGTTTGCAGTTTACAGTCTGGCACAGTTTACGGTCTGTGCAGCAACTTGTGGAATTGTTGTGGATTTGAATAACCAGGCAACTATTGTACACAAGGGGCAATTGAACTCCTTCACAATACGGATTCCCTAGTTAAGAGGGCACATGCTGAATGCAGCCATGAACATCCACGTCGTTGACCCTTCAACGACTTCATCTGTCACAGCACGACAAATGACTGCTGTTTCGTCTTTCAGCTACATAATTCGGGTGCTTCCACAATCACAATTGCTTCTTCACAATCTCTTTCTCCAATACCTGTGCATGATGAAGAGCCTACCTTGCGTTCTCCTTTGCCACCAAGGCTATGACCCTCATGGCCAGTCAAGTCCACTGCAAGGTGGTGCCCTTCCTCGTTGAAGTTCCAGTACGCCACAAGACTGTCATCCTTCAAGTTAATGTGGTATTTCTTGCCACCCGCAGCTCTATCCACATCTGCAGCCATGCCATCCCAGATTTCTTCTTGGCTCCTCACCCTCTTCCAAATGCGCAGCTCATCCATGAACCCCAGAATGGGCGATGTGTCAGATGCCGCAGACTTTGCGCATTTCCCCTCACAATCCTACACATGGACAGAACAGAATGAAAAAATGCTACTTCGCCTCATGTGTCCAAAGTTTTGCCATACATCGAATGAGTCAGGTAATGCACACTTCTTAACAGCAGACATGGGCATTTGCCACATTATATCACACTGCAAAAATCTCCTGGTGCTGGTTGAGCATTTCTGGCTTGAGGAGAGGGGCACTGTTTTCTTTATCATCCCAACCCAGGGGCCCCATCCCTGTGCTAAACACAGTTGCACTACCATTCTCAAGATTCAAACCTGACTATCTTTTGGGAAAATTAACCTTGGCACCAAGTTGTCTTGCCCACATTCGTACACAGCAGTGTGAAACAACAAGTTTCCTGTAGAGGCTACCTCGAGATCATCAATGTGCAATGAATCAGCTACCGGTGGTTACCTCTTGCTCAAAGCATGCAGTCTGCTGCTTGAAGCGACCCACAACAGCACAGAATGTTGCCCAGCACATGCTACACAAAATAAAACTTTGCAGCGCAACCGGCGCTCAATAATCCAGTTAACCCTTTTCCGGCATACACAAGTGCATCCATTGGCTGCTTGGTTGTGTGACTTCAACTCTGGCGTCGACCAATTGCACAGCATCGTGAGCCTGCGGCTGTTGGCCAAAAGCTGGCAGCTTCAAAATTAGAGATGAGAATAACACTGCACACTACTTTGCTGAAACTGTCCCAGTGTTTGATAAGTCAATTCTTGTTTTGTCCGGTTGAGGGGGTCATGGCACCTCCAGGAATGTTATTATGTCGACGAGCACTGCAAGCATAGTGGCTGATAGACAATTCGTGGGTGGGGGTGGGTGGTTGGGTGGGGCCTGCCAAGCATCCATTTGGAGGTCAGCGTCCCAGCCAACACGTACACTCTGTCGTCCCTAATCACCAACCAGCACACAGTCCACAGCCAAAAGGACGGCCACCTCAGCAGGGGACTGCACCGCACGACCCGTGTCCGCCCAGCCCGCGCCCACCTGTCTCTTGCCGACCGTCAACATCCCCCCCGAGAGTATTCTCTTCCCCTTGGCCCGCTTCCTGGACCACATCCGGATGCCGTTGTCGTACAGCTCGGTGTTGCCCGTTTCGCTCTCCCACGTGACGGCCACGTGGTGCCACCGGCCGTCCGCGGCCCCCACGCTGGACTTGGCCTCGCCCCAACCACCCTCGTCGTTCATCACCGCCACGCCCCAGCTGTTGTAGTTGAAGACGGCGAAGCCGTTGTCCGCGCTCTTGCCCTTGCCCACGGTGTAGGCGAAGGGCGCGCCCCGGCCGCACTTGTCGATGGTCCACAGCCAGAACTCGACGGTGATGGCGGTGGTGGGGAAGTCCTCGAAGGCCCCAAGGTACAGGCCCTGGTGGGCGTCGTCGAACTTCAGGGCGTAGCCCGGGGAGCCCAGGGTGGGCCCGGCCAGCTTCTTGCCGTTCGCGTCGACCAGGGGCGCGTCAGAGTACTGGATGGGCGGGGCGATTGACCTGAGAAGCAGGTTGCTGCCACCTGTTGGGCGCACGGATTTCGTTCGTCAGTGCACTGGTATACCAGCCCAAAGTGTGCATGCCCTTCAGTGCATTTAACCACCCCCAGGAGCTTGGGTCTGTGCCCGCAAGGCAGGCAAGTGCCGGTGCACATTCTGGCGAAGCCGACCTGAGTCTGAATACTTCAAGTAATTCAGAGCTGGAGAAACATATCAGTGTCTTGATTCGTCCACTACCATGCCGTTCAACCTGGATGAACCATGCCAGTGTCCATGGATTCGAAAGGCACCCTCAGGCAAGCAGCTCAGGCAAGTTCCATACAAGGCAATGCTGCACGTCTGCGAATATACCCCAGTGTATATTTTTCCTCTGCAATTTTTCGACAACCTGCTATATAGGGGCTCCCCATAATCGTCACAACTGGACAGGCGACTCTGCACAGTTCGCTTGGCCTCAAGCACCCCTTTTCCACCACAGAGGGTCATACATCTGGGGCTGCTAGATGCCACAAGAAGACTGGACATCCTCGTGTCGAGGCTGGAGCTGCTTCACATTTTCTTGGCACCGTTGCATTTCTATTACTGCTCCACATGAAAGGCCAGACGTTCGGTTACCATGCGGAACTGTATGTGTCACAATGGTATGTAGCATTGCAGAATGCAGGCAGGGCTGTGTGTGACAATCAACTTGCTGGGTGGCTGGAGGGACAAGTATAACCCCGGCACCCCACCTTTTGTGTCCACTGCATGGGCTTCCCTGCCAGATCCAACAACCGAATCGGCATTGAAGTCGTACATCATGACTAGTCCTGGAGTATCTCCTGGCTGGTTCGTTGCCCTTGATGACTTGATCTGGTCATCACTCAACACCTTGTCCCAGATGCGGAGATTGGCGAGATAACCATCGAAATAGGCAGATGGGGAGAAGCATCCCCCAACACAGCTTTGTCTCTGCAGAAGCCAATATGCAAGAGTGACCGGTGCATGCCAAAAAAGCAAGCAACACTAAACATGATGTTATCAAGCATGCTGCAATACATGGGGGAGAAATTTCCTCAAACTGTTCACTGGTCATCGCACTCCCAAAAGAGCTGCCCTCTTTTGCATGACAAGGTCATTGACACACTTCAAAAATTGTCCTGTGTCCCAGCAATAAACGCACCCTTAGCAGCAGAATATTCCAAGAAGGTTGCTGGTGTGCTTGTCAGCTTTAATATACAACAGAGTGGGGATGACCCACCCTTTGGTTGCAACACGTGCAGGAGATTTTTGGACCCAGTGTAGGACACTTGAGTGAACATCGTGCAACAGCTGGACTGGAAATATGAGGCATAGGTCCCTTTCAAAGTCCCAACTGCGTGCTCAGAATCATTGATAATCATTGAAAGTCATTGACACTGTGACCTTGAAAAACTGGTCAAATCTGCAGCAATAAGACTTTGGGAACAAGCAATCGTGGATGTGACTAGCGTCTGCCACTGTCTAGCAAGAGCAAAAGCAGCAAGTTGTCCCTCCTGAATAGCTCAATATTAATAAATAATCCACATCTGCTTATACATAGAAGTGACACAAAGGGGCCTGCACCTGGCCAACAACCAAAACGCCAGATGAGTTCCTCTCTATTCCTTGTGCAAGCACGTTGGACGTTCCCCCTTTGTTTGGGTCTTGGTTGGTAGCACGTCCGTTGCCGTACAACCAGAAAGGTGTGTATCTATCACCATCGAAGTGCAGTTCGGTGCTGCCGCTGTCAAAATCCCAGCTAACAGCAATATGATGCCAATCCTCATCAGTCCTGCATCACCACACATTGCAGCTCATGGCCACATCCTGAAAAAGGGATGCTGAAATCATCGGCGACAGCTGGATAAGGGGTCGTTCTCTTTTTGGCATGGATACGGGTGGTGGTGGAATGATATATTCATTTACATAAATATCATACACGATGCCCCAATCCTTCAACGTACTGAACCGTGACTGCAAAAGACTGCAAACAACACATTGGCCGCAAAGAGCATCAAGCCCCTTGTGGCAATTCTGATGCACAAGGGCAACAGCAGGGTCACCAAAATTGAGATCAGGCAGTGAATGAAAACTTTCTTCAGAAGTTGGTTCCACTTTAGGACCATGCCACAGATTCCATGCTATGCCGAGCCTTGCTTGGAAAACTGTTTTGATGGGGGGTGGACATTGCTCTCATCAACAAAACTGAAAATCTGCAGATGGTCCTTGGGTCATTCAAGCCTGGGAGTGCATACCCCATCTCGAGTCCATAATGTGGATTTCTCCATTCTTCCAGAGGCTTTGCGACTAGGCCACTGGAATTTATGCAGGTAGCACCATCAGAGGGCCAATAATTGCTGATGCAGCAACTCCAGTCCTTCACCACCATAATGATGGAGGGAAACGATGCTTCAGTAGAAAAGTACTGGAGATAAGCATCTGCCAGGACAAGTCCCTGTTTGACACGTGTCCTACTGTCTACACAGTCAAGATTCAATCTGGAGCAAGACTTTGACTGCCTGCTTCCTGCACCTGGAGAGCACGTTGCGCTGGCCAGATGTCGCCGCAGTTGTCATGCGAGTGACTACGGGTGTTCTGTTATGTTCTAACAACGCCATCAAAAGGATTGCAGCCCATACATGTGGTATCGAAACTCACCAGTTTGTGGGAAAGTCCACCCAGCTATGATGCTGCACCCCCTCCTTGGAGTAGCTCATCACAACAGACATTGCACCCTGTGTGGAGATGTCTGTGTGTTCAAGGTGCCCATTGTATTCCCGTGAGTAGTGATCTATCCTGATTTCGTCATGTAGTCTGGCAAAGAGTGCAGCTTCAGCAGTTGGGCTTTTGAAGGCTTCCTCCACCTCTGCGCACTTGGTGACATACGACAAGATTGTCTCATGGTCGCGGACGTCTCCAGACGTCCTGAGATTAGACTTTGCCCAAAACTCAATGCTGAAGCTCTTCGACGGCATGTTCACCTGTTAGACCCAGGGAATGGGACACAGCAGCGTTGTAGGTAAAGGAGAACATTGTCTCCATCCACACAGTCCTCTATGTGAGCGGGCGCTGGAACATTCCAATCAGTTGTACAACATTTGTCTAGGTTGAACAAGGTCTCATTCAGCACAAACCTTCCCTGTCCCTTGATCAGATAAAATGGTGTGCATACACAACCTGCTTGTGCCATGGCACACAATTGAACAAACTTAGCATTTGTATTCCAAAGCGAGCGACAGTGTAGCTGGGCATGCCAGGCATGGCCAAGATCAGCTGGCTCCAACAACAACAATATTGGTGTGCTTTGTCATATCCTGTGAAATTGGCAGTGCGCTGCATGATGTGACTTGCCACTGCCTGCGATGAGCACAATCGTGGCATACAGGTCTCATGTGCAAGCAAAACTCTGGTGTTCAAGGTGTGCCTTCAACAGAGCTAGACTCCCGCAGGTGAGTCCCCTTGTACCAAATCAGGACATGTCTGAATTGGTGACTTACAACTGTCCGGTTCACAGCATAGCTGTTGGTGAACTTCAGTGCCCCAATGCCCAAGTCTTCCTTAAGCTGCGCAGAGCACAACGATGCGAACCAGTGAGTGAGCGATCACAAGATTCTTGCCGGTCCTGCACAGCAAGACGCACGAATGCTACAAATGCCAAATGCTTCAAGATTGTTTTCTGTTCGAGTTCAAATTCTCATTTTGGCAACAACCAGCACATTTTGCAACACAGGTGTGCAGCATTTCATGCAAGACATGAAGAACTCTGTCCAGATGCCAATCACAAATGGAAATGCACGAAAATTCAAACCAACAAAGGAAACAGAACTTTCTAGGAGGTCGCTGCCTCTGCAGAGGAACAGAGGAGCTTGGACTGCAAGACTCACATTTTGCTTAGAAATTGTATCACTGAGCTGTTCGGGGTCTGCAAGGAGAGAAAGATCGTTCCCTTTTCCACTTGAATCATGGGCAACTTGGGTGCCTTCCCCTGCAGCATCAACAGATGTGCACCGTCAGTGTGTTGGATAGTAGTCGGCCATTCGGCCATTGTCCATGTTCAACAAACTGGCCACTTGAAGACAAACTCATCGCAATACAATACAACAAACTGCGCATGGTCTGAAGAAAATGACAGACAGCTCTGCAAGCCCTGACACCGATCTGGCTTGCCACCTCTCCCACTCTTGTTGCAATGTCGACAGACCATGCCCCTGCATCTTCAGTCAATATGGTTCTGCTTCCAACTGCAACTTGTGGTGTCTGGATGTGGTCTAATATAAATGGGTCACAGAATGGACTGCATCCACTGACCAAAGCAAGTCAGATACTTTGGTAATATTTTTCATTGCAGGGCCAGCGTAAGCAAAAGATAGTCGCATGAGCATCAGTGAGGGTACATAACCGATATTTGCATATCAACAGTGCAGCGGTTCAGCATAGAAGTCATGTGCAAGAAATGGCTAGAATGTGTGGTGAAAGGCTCCAATGGTCACAACACAGGAGACAATCCGTTAGTTAGAATGAGCCAACCGTCAGCAAGCATAGAAAAAGATCTCACCCAAATTGTCAAATTTCCAGTAGGCAACCAGCCCTCCATCTTTTCCAACTTCACTGCCTGTCTCTGCATAACAGACAGAGAGATTCTAGGTGTGCATGCAGCTTGGTTGAATGTGGTGCAGCCTACACAGGGAGTGATATTTGTTTGTTGTTGGTGGCAGTAGCTTGCCAACAGCTGCTTCGCGCCAGACAAACTTACATAACAAACATAAACTAGACCATGCCACAATTCTTCACACATTTACTTAGTCAACCTGCACGCTGATTTCCATGCGGGTCACATATGGTCTTCGAATTGCACATTACATGCACCATACAGTGTCCAATCTACTGGTGCCAAGCAGCAAGCCAAGATATGATGAAAGACAGAAAATAAATGTTGCCTGATTGTGACCCATTCATTGAAATGCAAAAAGCGCCACAAGCCATACGCACTCTTAAATAATGAAAGATTCAGCAACATCTCTGCCAAGAACCTAGAATGACTCAAATCCCGTGTCCTCAAATAAATAACAAAATGCATACAACCCAGTGTGGTGGGCGATCCTGGCAAGGCAGGCAAGAAGCACACTCGAATCCAGCATCACACCACAGACTACGCAGTTGCTTTGAGAGGAAACCCACTTCTTCTGAATTGAAATATCTGTTCCTTCGTTCGGACTGTGTTCCAAATGCGGACTTCGTCCATCATGCCATAGAAAGCTTGGCTTCCTTGTGTGCAGCCCCCAAAGCAATCCTGAACAACAAGACAAACCAAAAGGGAAAAGATCAGTGCGGGCAAAGGAACAAGAAACAATCTTGGGGACCTGGTGTCAAATTTTGACTTTTTTTAACAGTCGGCATCATCAACTACGTTCCATGGACCCACCTGCTCTCCGCCCAACATGAACACTCCATTCGGGTCCAGCGGATCTGTATGCTTTGTTTCAGCAACGGCAACTGCAGAGCACAAGACCAGACCCAGAATCAAGCCACCAAAGCAATTGTGCACTGTATTCTGGGAATGAACAGCAGGCAATGTGGCAATGATAAACGATCAGCATAGCATGGAGCAGGTGCCACTGGCTCCACTGCTTTGGCAAATATGTTGTCAGTGAATTGGCCAAAAGGCCTTGAACATCGCCTATGTTATGATGAAAGTCTGAACTTGCACAGCACATTCTTGCAAGCTGAAACCCACATTCATGCAGCAGACATAGGCAACAATGTATACTTCATCAAACACATGTGTCTCAGTGACTTCCACACCGCAATTCACTGCACTCCATCTATGTCCCACAATCTGCTCCCACACAGTTCAGCAAGTCGTCACTTCGCCACAACATAAATACAGGTACCAACATGTGCGTGTCGTCCCATCAAGCATATACACAAGCCTACAATATGTCCGTGACCGAGATCAATGCTAAGAATGGATAGTCATCGGCATAATTCCCTCAATCGGATATGCTGAATCCACCAATTCCACCGTGGACCCTGCAAGGCGATCAAGGGCAGATCATTGCCCACAACGATGCGCACAACTACTGTTGATTGTCCCATAGTGCCCACAAACCAACCAGCAGACACCGTTATTCTTGATTTGGTCATTGTGGGATGCCTGCCATGGTCTACATCCTTGGATGGCCTCAATTCCTGGGGCTGCCTTCTCTACACAAGGCAAAACGGGGCCTTTCCACCTTGCAAGCGATGCTGATGTTGCAATGGCTATGCCAGAGGCAAGGCAAAGGGAACAATGCATAACACTTCTTGATAGGTCCAAAGGCAGTGCATTGCCATGTCCTCTGACAATTGCAGCAACGAGAATGAGAATACAGCAAACCAGTAGAGGTACGCCCGCCATCTCCCTGCTGTGCAGAGGCAACTTTTGTCACATGTACTGGGAAATGCAGTCCAAAATGCAACCTCTCCTCAGCAGCCAGCACCGTGGGTATGCACACCTTGAAGACCATCCTTGTATATGTAGGTCTTGCCATTGTCAGCAGCCTTCCATGTGACTGCAAGGTGGTGCCAACCGCCGTTGGGATCAACGAAAGTGTCTGTGGTGGGTTGTCCAATGTCCTCCTGCCATTGAGACCCACAACAAGATGCACAGCATCAGCAGCAGTGTACAGAACAGGAGCCCAGATCTCCAGGCTACCGCCATGAAATTATGGCCCAACTTTGATTTGCTGGCGCCACATTTTGCTATCTCTCTGCAGACCACAAAATAGGGCTCTGTGCTGTGGTGACAGGCTCCCGATCGTGATGCAACCACAAATAGTACCCTACCTCGTCTTTGAAGTTCCAGCGACAAGTCGCCATTAGCACATCTGCAAGATGAAATTGGGGCCATGTCAGGTTCAGGATTGGTGTGCTGGTTACGCTGCAGTCCCCAGAAAATTGGAAAAACACATGGAAAAGATGCCCCATGCAAACACATCTCACCTGCAGGTGACCCGAGGGCATCGATGTTCTTGTAATCGTGGCAAGCTAAAATGTTCTGCAAGCCACGCACTCTGGCTCAGCAACTCATGTCCATGACAGAAATTGAAAGCACATGTGTACGATATAGCAGACTGGAAGATATCGACTGCTCAAACCTGCTGGTCAAAAATCACGAAGTGGTTGGAATCAGTTTTGATGCTGTCCTCTGGCCCTTTCTTTGAGTAAGACATGATGGCTCCTGTAGGAAACACACAACAACATCACCATTCCCAAATGGACAATATTTTATCCAGACACGACCTAACTTGTCACTTAGTAGAGGAGCACGAGTCGCAATTTGATGCAGAATTTGCACATGCTATCCGACATTGTCAGGTGATTTGCGATCGTATTCACGAATCCTTGCTGTTGAAACCCAGACAGACTACAGGACGCACTGCAATTTCATTCACTGCACTGTGAAAGCACCAGGGGTTTTACTGCACCAGGGGTTTCCTGTGCACTTGTTTTGCTCCCGTGCTTGGCAGCCTTGGAATATAAATGATCAACCAAGATGATCGGGTAAACAAGCCACACAGCTTAACAGACCACATCGTCCACCCATAGCCCCGGATGTGGGAGCAACCGCTCTGCTGGAGGCGCAAAGAGTTCTTATGTGAACGTTTTGTATATGCAAGCTTGTGTTCTGGTATTTCGTCCCAATCACAAACGAGGAACTAAAGTTCACCACTTGCAGGAACTGGCTCACTTGCTGCAAGTTTCCATAAAACCATTGCACACCTTTGGAATCAAACCAGCAGCACGGCCATGCATAACTGCTTGTGGGCATTCGCTCCTCTGTGAGAAAGAATGACAGTGGTCTGGACCACAAGGTCGATATGCCAACATGCACAGTGTGAGCTGACAGAGCCCTGGTGGTTGGTGTGGGAGGTACTCCACACAAATAGTCAGTAGATCCACTCACACAGCACACACTTATTTTGCATCTGTCATTTGAATAAGCTGGATGACTTTGGCCATTTCGGGGGTTGCGCTTTAACATTGTGGACATGCCTAGGGCTGTGTTCACAAGGGACAACCCATTTTCCAGGCACCTCCGACAAAAACCATAATGAGCAGGAAAGTCTGCAACATCTGAGCAGCACATGCACACATACCGCTTGTGCAAGAGTCAGATGTGCTGATCCAGGCTTCAAATGTTAGCTCCTCCGTTGGGAAGTCCTGCAATACAAAATCATGATTTTTGACCTTTTGGGCCAGTCATTGGTTTAAAAATGCAGATTGTGCATGTGAAAACTGCCAGCATTCTGTGGATGATCATTGGCTGCCATGGCCTTCAACGTGAGTGGGCTTGTCCCTTTTGGACAATGTCACCATTGGAGTGCAGAGCTGAAGAGCACAAGATTAATGGGGAACAAAGTGAGGCTCACAGCTTGCCTTGAAGTCCTTCTTGACAAACACGTTGTTCTGGAAGACCAAGCTGTACTTCGCTTCGCCAGGTTTTGGCAGTCCCTCTTGAGTTGGAATTGCAGCCTCCTCTGGACTTTCAGGCGGCGGTGTGGCCAGCTTGCTCTCAGGGGCTTGGCTGCCGGCTTGTGCCACCTTTCCTCCATCAGGTCGAAGGCATTCAGATGGGCTGGTGAAACTGCAAATATAGCCCTGCTCGACTGTACAGACCTTACTGCAGCCGTCATGACTAGCCTTATTGCCATCATCACACTCCTCAGTGCCCTCAAGGATGCCATCTCCGCAGACAACCCAACGCGACACCTGCAAAATGCATGATGGTTCACTCAACCAAATGGGGTGGAAATTCTAGCACCGCTTAGGGCTGACATTGAAGAAAATGGATACAATGGAGTATTTACAGCAGTGGATGGAGGCAGAATGTATTTATTACCTCTGATAAGTAGGGAAGAAGATCAGCCACACAGTGGCTCACACCATGACACTGTGCGCAACGATGCTGTAGGCACAACGTGAATATTGGACACCAAATCATTGCCTAGCTGGAAAAGTGTGCGCTGAGGCCAATAGCTGTACAGCATAAACCACAAGGCACATGTCACCTTCCAGTTCTCTTCCCGCAGCAGCAGATCGTTTCCATTTTTGCTGGAGTCCTTGACAACCTTTCCCACACCCTCATCGAACTTCCAGTGTGCCACAAGCCCTGTGCTCCTCTTGTCCCAAGCCCCTTGCTCTTCACTCTCCTGGTCGATGGACATTCCTTCCAGTATTTCCTTCAGTCTCAGGGTCCTGCTCCAAATCCGCATCTCATCGATCACACCGATGAAGTCGCTAGGGCCATATCTGGAGCCATTTTGGTCCGCGTTGATCCCCGTAGACAGGCATCCACCAACACAACCCTGTGTTGCAAACATGTTCCTTAAGACATATGCCATGTTTGCAAATCAAACAAAGAAGTGCATACAGTGCAGTGGCCCATACCAGGCTCAACGCTGCATCCGCGACCCCAAATATGCATTAGCAACTTATATAACAGGTGTAAAGAATAAACACTTTGTGAGGAGTATGGGCATAAGGGCACCCTCTTTTTGCATGCAGATCGACGAAGCCAGAAAAGCTACTGCAGTCCAAAGCAGCCATGCTTGGACTCCCCACACATCATGTCAGCAGCGGGTTCACCACAACAATGGAGTCTCCAAAGCAATGGACCTGTCGGGTTGCCAGGCAAAGGGGCTCTGCACACCTCAGGGCACATGCCAAAGGATGACAGAGTCCACACTTGCCCCAAAATTGCCCTTTTTTCCTGTTTGCAGTGGCAGAAGTGGTGGAATGGGAAGTGAACACCCAGCGCCCACCTGTGCGCTGCCAATTACTACTGTCCCGCCAGAAGGAAGCTTCTGGCCCTTGGCCCGCACAGCCCTCCATGCAACTCGCCCATTGTCATACAGCACAAGTTTGCCATTGTCGCTTTCCCACGTGACAGCGATGTGGTGCCACCGTCCGTCCGTGGATGTCAGTCCAGCGCTGGTTCCAGCATCGGGCCCTTCATCTCCCATCACAGTGGCATGCCAGTCATTGTAGTTGCTGATGACGAATGCGTCGACGTTGCTCTCGTGGGCATACGATATGGGTACCCCAGTCCTGCAGGTGTCAATGCTCCATATCCAAAACTCAATGGTGATGGCTTCGGAAGGAAACTTTTTGAATTCTGGGGAGATGAGGACTTGCTGGCTGTGGATCTGCAGAGAGTATCCAGAGAAGCCAGAGGAGGGACCGACAGCTGGCTTGCCGTGCTTGGAAATCAGTGGTACATCAGAGTACTGGTAGGACGGTGCGATGGAGTCGACCACCAAATTGTTGTCTCCTAATGACAGGAGCACACTTCCCTTAAGTGTACGTCAATCAATGAATACGTTTCTCACACAAGAAAAAGGCACTGCCCAATCATCTTGTTATGATGCCGGATATCCTGCAGCCCTCTGACGAAGCGACGTGCAAGATGGATCACACAAAAAGCAAGGCATGTCCAGACGTATTTATAAGAAAAAAGATGCCCCATGGCCAGGATAAATCTGTCAGGGGTACCGTTGCTTGGAGCACACACACTTTCAGATACTTATAAAACAACCTCTGTTGCCGACACAGCATCCTGCCAAAAAGCACAAAATGTGACGTGAATGGGGCAAGCCCTGGTCCAAGGCCTGCCAGCAGCATACCACCGAAGTGAGCACATGTTCTGAATGCATGTCCAACCAGTGTCTGATGGAAAAATTGCACATTTTGGTGCCAAGGTCATATCGGAAACTGCCAAATAAATAAAGTGCAAGGACATCTATGGCTGCAACTGGCCATCACAGAAAGAATACATAACCCCCCTCAATAAACGTGGGTACAGGATACCCGTACCTGTGGAATCCACAGCGCGAGCCCGCTTATCAGATTCAGCAGGTACTAATTTGAAGGCCATGGCCAGACCAGACTTGTCTTCCGGGTCATTGGTGAACATATTTGCCTTCACTTGGCTCTCCAACAACAGACGGCTCCACACACGTACGTTTGCCAGGTGCCCATCAAATGCTGACGGCTCTGAAAAACAGCCTGCCAAGCACTGCTGCTTCTGCATACCAGATGAGGTAGACAGTATGGTCAGCTTTCTGGCAAGCAATTCACAACAGCAACAAAACACTGCTCCTGCAAATAGGGCATCTGAATGGCAGCAATCACTTACTGTGGTGTTGAACATCACAAATATTTGTCCAAAGTTTCCTTTTTCCAAAAGTTACATCATAATCATGGCCATGGTTCTCTATAAGAGTGTCCTCCAGCACACAGTGAACAGCAAAAGTTTGATTTCCACACCTGTCCAAGCACCAGTGATCCCTTCTCCGATCTTTGTGCTCTCTGGGAAATGCTGGGATCTACTCGGCCACTGTCACTTTCATTTGCCCACCGAATATCTCCGCCCAGTGACACTGCGCTGGGTTGTTGGTGGTGGCCATCAAACCAAAGTGTGACGTTGCCAGTGCTGAATTCCCATGTCACACATATGTGGTGCCACATATCATGGTTCCTGGTAGGAAGGGTACAGCACAGAGAAAACTTACCGACTAGCACAGTGGCTCGCAGCAAGCCTTGTCAGCAAGGAGTTTGTGGCCCAACATGCAAGATCGTTGTTGCACGTGATGGCAGGGCAAAAGGGTAGGTGTGACTTACCACCATCAAGTTCCACTTTGACCACATGTGTCTGAAACAAACTATGCGCAGTTCTTGCCTTCAAATAACAGCACCTAAGCACAGAGGCCTACAACAAATGGACTGACATCTCCTTTTTCCCTTCGGCTCCTTTTCACCAATACTTTTTGGACACCAACAGTTCTCTGGGCCATTCAGTAGGAGCATGGGAACAATTCTGTTTGGCACCATTTTCTGTTGCTGCGGACAATCCTAACATTGCCTGATCCATGCAATTGCAGGAGCATGTCAAGGCTGTTTGTCTCCATCAAGTTGTCCATCAACTCACCAGTGTGTATAGAACATCACCCAATGCTCTCCACCACCACTTCGTTTGACCTCATCATTGAAATGGACTCGAATGGCACCCCTCAATGCGCGGTCTGCAGTGCCATTCATCACATGCTGGATTCGTATGGCTTCATGCATGTGGGGCACACGTCCTGGTTCCTCATTAACACTATCTTTGACAGGAGTGACAAAAGAGAACAGCTCCCCCTCGTGTTGTTGGCCATGGACAGGTGACTTCGCCCAAAACTCAATGGTGATATCCTCGGTGGGCATGTTTGTCTGTTGACACATTGACAACAACATTGGCACTCAATTTGGCTGCACACAATTCCCTGAAGCCATGGATCTAGATTTGCATAAGAACTGCAGCACGCATATGGCAAATGAGCTTCATCAGTGGGCATACAAGGTTGCTGCACACATGATGAAAACCAGGTGCATATTGCATTCATGGGCAGCACCACTAATTGCAGCATGGAACTCACTGTGTTCTGGCCAAGGGCGTAGCTGTTCGTCGTGAGGTGCAAGGCATCCGTCGTCAGCTCGCCGGCTTCAGAGCCACTGTTCTGCAGGTTGGAACACGCGCCTGAACCAGTCAGCAACAGTTCCAATGGCATGATCCACAGCTGCCCCAAACCATAACAGACAGCACATGCCAGTAAATGCCACATTACATAATCTTGAAACACAACACCAGCTGGACACATTGTGCTATGCATGATAATTGCTTTAAACGCTGCCTTGCAACAGTGGCTGTGCACACCTCTGCAACCACTGGACACACAGCCACATGCTCTGCAAAATGGCTAGCTTAGCACAGCACATGTTCACTGTCCATTTTCTGCCCATTTCGAACAAAATTCAACTCTTCATTGCCCACCCTCTCCTGACCAAATTTCAATCATGTATTGAGCATAGGCCCAAACATACAGCTGTGCCACCAAGTGCAAGGCTACTCTTGTGTACCTCAACTTTGTGTATCGTCACTGGATCCACTGTTGGAGGCATATGCAGCACAAGATCGTTGCCATTGCCACTTCTATCTAAGCTAGTCCCACCTGCACGGGACTCAGAGGTACCTGCAAACAAAGCATAGGAGGTCAAAACGGAAAAATTTATCAGATAATGACCTGTTGACAACGAGCAAGATTGCCCCCATATGTTAGGTGATCACACACCAGGTCAAGATAAACTTCCTTTAGATTGGAGAACCACTTACCAACATCATCGAAAGTCCAGTATGCCACAAGGTTATCCTTTTCAATGCGGTCACCACTTCCTGCACATCCACAAATGTTTGGTGTCAATAGGCAACAAGAGGTCTCAGTCTTGACCACAGGGGGCTGAGCATGACTTGCCATAGTCTCTGACACTGCAATGAACAACACTACATTTGACAACAACATCAAGAGGGCATTTTGCGCGTGCACCTCTCCACATCGAGTAACTAAACATCGGAAACATACTTCTCATGTTGTCCAAGATGGCAGTTTGATTGCGCACTGTTCTCCAGATTCGGACTTCATCCATCAAGCCATAGAATGCTTGGGCAGGGTCAGTGCAGCCTCCAAGGCAGTCCTGCAGCAAAGCCAAGGAAATTGACTGAATGTTGCCACGCTTCAACAGTGGTCCAACACTGAAGAGAGCTATGCCAGCACTCAAAGCCGCAAAGCCGAAATTTCTTTGTACCCATTCTGGCAGTGTGACAATGACAATGGCAACAAAGCCAGAACGTCATCCACACAGGTGTTGGCAGTTTGAGCTGTGAAGAGGCCAGGAATATGCTTGGCAGACAATGCCAGGTGAGCACTCCAAGGCTCTGCACTATGAAATACCCCTGTCTGCCTTGGAAAGTGTAAATGCAGTGCAGTTTGCTGGACCCAGTCATCAACACGCTATGACCAACAAGCATACTGTGCCTTGAAGGCCATGACCGCCGCAGACAGGTCCAGCCACAGTTTCCAAACTTCACAAGGCGCTGCCCTCACAACTTCTTTGTACAATCGAGAGGTCTGTGGAATAACATCCTTCGGACAACGCAAAATGTGATGAAAGCAGGAATACAGGTTGTGTACTGACCTGTTCAGCGCCTAGAATCCATTGACCCCCAGATTTTAGAGGTTTCGTCTGCCCTGAAACCGACTTCGCCACTGCGCAGGTTCGAAATTCACACCTCAGATTTTGGTCCTGTTGAAAACTGTTAGCTTGACACTATCCTGGGTGTGCCAACTGCCCAGCAAGTGCGAATATGACAAGGGGTGGAGAACAGCAAGACATTGCAAAAAAATCTTAGTCTATGGACAGTGCAACAGCACAGCCAACAGGCAGCCTATTAGTGCTTGGAGTACAAGTTTCAGCTCCCAAAATGTCTAAGTACTGCAGTGAGTCAAATCAAATCAAATGCGCCCACCTGGCAGCCCATCTATATAGATTTGAATAGAGCCATTTTTGGCAGCTTCCCAGCTAACTGCCAGATGATGCCATTTCCCAGTGTTGTCCGTCAGGTCAGTATTTGACGGGTCTGCCTGCCAACAAGGCAAAACAGCAATTAAGAGGGGACACAAGCACCTCAAGATCAGTGGAAGCTCAGCAACTCTGTATCGATCTACAGTACAAACAGAAAGATACAAACAAAACCATCAGTAAATTCTACTGTTTCACCATGCTGCAGACTTCATATGGGAGTTGATGCGCCTACTGGGGAAGTGCAGCCCTTCAAGGTGCGTCTGGTGCCTGGACAACTCTGTACTAATCAAATCGATGCAATGTTGTACATAACTACCAAAGAACATGCACTGTTGACTGAACATACAGAACGAGCAGGAACAGCAGCACAGCAGCCCTGCCAAGTCCAACTTCCAGATTGAGGATGCTCAATTACCTAAAGCAACAGATTCTCACATCACTCAACAACATGTCCATGTGCACACATGACTATGCTTGACATGTGGTAACTAAACTTTGGATAACAGTGGGGGAATAGCTTGTTAACTTGACTGAGAGCAACAGACGAACATGGCATCCTTATAGAAACAGCTGGTACAGATGTGTTGCTCCCACGTTGCCCTCTTCCCCTTCCCCTGGCCAGAGCCCAGGTGCTTCGCCATTCCCCTCTTCACAGGCACTGCTGTATCTGAATACCGACACTGAGGTACTCATCGTTCTCTACTTAGCAGCAGGTTCACAGCAAAGCACATACATGCTTCCGCATAGAGCCACGGAGAGCTTGAACGGAACTCAGGTAGTAAACAATAAACTGATTCTAAACATTCTAGCATGGCTGTGGCCCGTGGCCTGAACTCAAACATCTATCCTGCTGGAGTGTGCAGCTGACTCACAATAGTGTTGTTGAAGTGAGCACGGCAGCTGGCTCCTTCTGTATCTGTCAGAGAGAACAGACAAAGATGTTAAGGGCGATGACTTCCGGACCACTGTAGCCTACACAAACAACACTGGAGGGTGGATTCAGGGGGTAAGATTTATGTTTGTGAACGTGTTTGGAGATCCACAAGCAGAGGATGCAGGGGCAAAGGCATTCAGTGCTTGCGCTTCATGCTATCAGATGAACAAGAACAACAAGACGCAGCTGACACAACAGAACCAGACAGCAGCACACACAGATGTTTCCATACCAAAGGACTTGACAATGTATTCGAAGTCGTGGCATGCAAGGAGGTCCTGCACAGGACACAAAACAAGTTATCCTGGTACATCAGCACACACCTGGTGGCGCCAGCCCACATTGTTCCCACTGCTATCAGCCATGGCCACAGCCAGGATTCCACACAAGAGTAGGAGACACAATAAGAGTATGCACAATGCTGTTGGGCTTCGCTTTCGATTTTAAGAAATTGAGAATGGCCTTTGGGAGCATTCTACGAAGGACAACTCCCTGTCATCTCCCTTGGGAAGTGATAGAGAAGTGCTTTGTCACTTTCAAGCAGATGGACGAATGGATCGACACAACCATGAGCAACAAACTGTACGGCAACTTGCTTGAGAGTTTTGTGACCACGAAATGCATGAGAGCAACACGAAAATCACAGCAAAATACAACAAACTCTAGGTGCACACTCAAAAGCCAAGCAACATTGGCACCTCCAGCTGCTGCGATTCTGGCAAGGCATCTGGGAGACTAGTGACCATTTGTTCACTCGTTGAGCCCACAACTGAAGGAAGATGCATTCCCATTTATCTTTACACTGTAGCCAGGGATGCACGATTGCTTACACATGAGACACCTACATTACGTCAACTACACACAGCTGCCACCAAATGCCTGATGAAGCCAGTTATTGTAACAGAGAAGTATATGATAACTCATGCAAATAGATGACGCTTCCTAGCTGGTCATTGTACCAAAAAACAGGTGCCATATGCCAAACCAAAATCTTTGCAGACCATGTTCTAGCGTCATCGTGCTGGTGGCAGCAAATTCTGTAACATCTTGGCATGTGCAGTAAGTCGGGGAATCGATCGAGGTATCTTCCAGATACATGGACAAAGTACCCTCCTAGGTTCATACCTTTGAGTTGTAAATGACAAAGGAATTGGCCGCTGTCTGCACATCGTCATACTCAGTGCTCTCAGCAGGAACGGCGTAGGATAGGATGGCACCTGCAGTCAGTGCATTGTCAGCATTGGTTTATGCAAAGTACTTATTACATCTTGTTGACCATGCATCTAGTAACCTCAATCAAAATGTTTTACAGGCAACAAACTGCGGCATACCACAATATTCCAGATGCCAAGGGACCTGTGCTCACACACACTTCTAAACAACAACAGAAACTTCAGCACCAGGTTCTGTACACTCCCCATTTGTATCACATTCACATCAACAATGTTGACCACAAACCATTTACCTCCTGTAGCCCACTCAACCTCCCCAAGATTTAAGATGCAGGGCTTCACACTTCCCGATGGGTTACACACAAAAAATGCAAAATATGCCAAAATCCTGACTTTTCCCAAACATTGTCAGGCGCAACAGTCTGAACGACATCCAGGCATACCCTTGTGACAGAAGTCCGACGTGCTGATCCAGGCTTCAAAGGTCAACTCGTCTGTTGGGGCGTTCTATGGCAAGAAAACACTTGCTTCAATGACCCTTGTCAAATAGCCTCTTTCTCATTTTTTTTTGGCAGCTGCAGAACACCAAGAGCTAAGGACCCCAGCACTTGCAGCAACAGTGCAGGATGTGCACTCGTTGCATGCAAAGAATGCCCAGAAAATAGAATTCCACAATCGCCACAGCGAATAATGCGGCAAGCACATGCAACGCCCCATGTTCATGCGCTGTGAGGAAGGAAATACAAAAACAAAATTCATTTCCCTGCTGCCAATATCCATTCCCATTTACCTGGAAGTCCTTTCGCACCACAGCATTATTGTGGAAAACAAGGGCAAGCCCTGCATCCCCCGGCTTCGATTCCTTTGTGAGATCTGCTTTGGGCACGTCGGCCTCGGAGGGTAGTTTGGGCTTGGAGGCTGGGGCCGGCAGCTCAGTGCCAACCTTTTGGCACAGGGACGGGCTTGACTGGCTGCAATGCCATCCTTCCTCAACTTCACAGGTGCTGCTGCAGCCATCTCCCCCTTTGCGGTTGCCGTCGTCACACTGCTCAGTACCCTCCAACAGTTTGTCTCCACAGGTTGACAGCCAGCGAACAACCTGACACACAGACACTCTACAGCTATGTGTCGACTTTTGCCTCCCACGACCGTGACAAATTGCACATTTACGACGAAGTTGAATTCCAAAATCAACATCTTGAGGATATAAACATGCATGACAGTCACAGATTGACAGCAGTTCTGCCACCAAAACGTGCGTGTGACAAATGGACGCCCTTGAAAACTACACAATGAGTGGCACTGCGATTTTGGTCATAGGCAATAAGCGGAAAATCTATTTGACACACTTCTACACACACTTCTTTCTTTCCACGATGTGAATACTACTGCAAGCTCTGCCTGCAGCACTTGAGTTTTCTACACCACTTTCACTGTTTGGGAAAAGACTTGAAAATTCTGGGTATCACAGATTCTCTTCTCTTCAGTAAATTTGGTGGATCTTGACAGATTCCAGATGAAACACACGCACACCTTCCATTTTGGCTCCTGGGTCATGCGCAGGGTGTGCTTGTTGTCGGTCACATCCTTGACATTGTACCCATTCCCCTCGTCAAATTTCCAGTATGCCACAAGGTTTTCGTCCTTGGGATCAATGAAATTGTTTTCCAGCCCAGCGCCCCTCTCGGTGTCTGCCACCATGCCCTTGTAGATCTGCTCTGGAGTGCGCACAGTCTTCCAGATGCGCATCTCATCGATGACGCCAAAGAAATCCTGGGCACCATACTCCCGCTCTGATGTCACCTGGCCAGCTGCCCCAAAGGCAGAATCGAAACAGCCTCCCAGGCAATCCTGAACACCACCATTGTGTCAGTTCTCAGGCAAACTTCACCAAGAGGTCGAAAACCAATGCTCTTGCACTGGCAAATTGATGTACCAGTCATGCTCCTATCACAATGCACGCTCAGTCATGTTCGTCACCTTCAAACAAGTCTTGCAATAAGCCAGGAGGGGAGCTCAATGTAACAATGTGGGCTACAAGGTTGCAGAATCAGGAGGTACGAGAACGACCGGTAAGGCAAGGAACAAGGCTCCAAAACCAGGTTCACTGGTGAGCCTGGAAGTCCTGTTCCGTTTTTGCATAGAAAAGCCACTCACTGTTTTGGGTAACCCAGCAGATTTGGCCCGTTCTTGAACAGAGCTGCGGGGACCAAAACTACTGCAGATTGTCTGCTTCGCCGAATTTCAAGTTGATATTGGATACGATCCTTCACACTCACAACTGCAAATGTGTGAGAATATTCACGATCATCTGGTTTCATCTCAGCAAAAATAAGCAGTGCCAATCCATAGGAAGCACTTGTTGTGGGACAGAGGAGGCACAGGCAACTGGGGAAAAGCGTGAATGCGAATGCCCAGGTGAAACAATGATTGCACTGCATGGCAGCATTTCAAGTTCGTTTTCTGGCCTCTTGAATGTCAGAAACACAGAAACAGGTCAGTATGTGGCATCTTTGGTGTTGTGCTCTGCCTCAATGTGCAACTAACTGTCTCTACCTGCTTGGCTCGTCACTGACAATGAAATGACTCAAGCAGATCAACGACGCTGCATCCATTCAAATAACATGATCGCAGGAGCCCTATTGCATGCCGATTGCTGTAGTTGTATATAGCATTCAGAGTGTACACTGTGCGAATTAGAATGCAAACCACTACAGTTCCAGCACAACATGTTGAGGCAAACAGTGACTGTGCACACCTGCTCGCGCCCTATCACAAGAGCACCCCCAGATGGGATGCTCTTGTTTTGCCCGGCCCTCTGAACTACCCATGTCAGCTTGCTGTTGTCGTAAAACAGCACTTCACCAGTAGCACTCTCCCAGCTGACAGCAATGTGATGCCACCGACCGTCATTGGAGCCGACACCAGCATTGTGGTCCATCAGCCCACCATCATGCTCCAATACACTGATGCCCCAGTTGTTGGAGTTGGAGATCACAAATTCGTTGTCAGTGTGATTGAAATCCCCGTGACCATATGAGAATGGGGCGCCCTGCCTGCAGGTATCGATGCTCCACATCCAGAATTCGACGGTGAGTCTATGTGAGGGGAAGTTCTCAAACCTCTCGATCATGAGGACCTGCTGGTCGTGGAGCTGCAGGGCATAGCCAGAGGCACCTGCTGTGGGAAGCGGGAGTGGCCTGCCAATGCTGTCAGTGAGGGGGGCATATGATAGCTGGTACGACGGAGCAATGGAGCCAAACTGTAGATCGCTGTGGCCTGCGACAATGGTGAACAGTTGCACAGAGCGTCAACTTCACCTGCTGGGTGGTAGGCCAGTGCTTGCCGTGGCGTGGCACATGAACACAAGCAGGTATGACACTTCATTCAACACATTTGGACAGGTAGAATACCAGAGCTGGGAATGAACACCTGCTGATGTGCTGCAGATCAGGGAGACAGCCTTTACCCGCTCTCTTTCTGCTGCTTGCCCAGTGCTCGGACAACTAGTCCCCTTTGGAGGATGGGCTTCAGAGCATTGGACATATTCGAAGATTCACTTGCACATTCTCTTACCACAAGCCAATGACAAGGTTGCCAGGGCTCCAAATGCAGATTGTTGGTAAAAACCCATTTTCCCAGCTTGATTTGCAGACACAGAGAAATCTGGGAGCCAATTGCTTACATGAGTACTGCCCATTTGTGCAGTGACACGTCCTGCAATAACATTTGCACAACATACCGCGCTCACAATAAGCAAAGGCAGTGCCCAAAACGTAGCAGGCAAGTTCAGTAATGGATTCTCAACAAACCCAGCTGTGGCAAGGCCTTGTTGCTTCAAGCATTCGGGTCTGGGTCCAGTACCTCCACGCTGGTCACGGGCAACCTTCTCTCTTTGCCTTTCTCCTGTGATTCCTGACTTGCTGAAGTCGTACTGAATAACAAGGCCCTCTGCATCTGAGGGTTCCACCTTAAACATGTTCTCCTTGACTTGTGCTGTCGTCAGGATGCGGTTCCAGATCCTCAGGGCTGCAAGCTGGCCATTGAATCCCTTTGATGTTTGGAAGCATCCACCCATACATTCCTGATTCTGCTCAACAGAAAATACAAGGAGAGGGGAGCACTCAAAGTAAGACAGCAATGTAGATCTCAATTGTTGGCAACACCCAGGCTATGGGGCATGTGACCCTGTGTTTATTCCTGAGCAAAGTTGGGCATGAGCACATTTGTGCAACAAATGCGCAGATGTGCATGAGCACATGTCACAAGTGGTGGGCAGTTTTTCAGCCAACACAGGCATGATAAGCACAATCATGCATTTGAACACGGATGAGACTTCAAGTGCATGAAACAGAGGTGCAAAATGTGCAGGAGAATGGAAAGGCAATGGAACAGGAGAGCTGTCGGGGTGGCGTTGTCATCACAAACGCAAGGGTGGCCATGCACTTGGCATAACTTTGCAAGCCCTGGCACCCAAGCTATCTCCATGCGATGAAAATGCAGGCAACAAATACGGTGTCCATATTGCTCCTGCTTGCAAAACCTTAAGCCCAAGTGCAATTGCAGCACAAGCACTGACCGAAGGATATAGTTGAATGATCGCACCCCCAGCTGGTGCAACCCATCATTGGCATTGCATCCACTGGTATGGATTATGCAACATGAATCAGAACACAGACAGCAAGTTGAGCCGGGTAGAAAGTGAATAATAACCCCATTGAAACCCCAAGTCCTGTTGCAGCACTGAATTACCTGGCCAATCACTAGGGATCCGTTCGACTCCCTCTCAAATCGTTTCCCAATTGAGGAGCTGACACCACCTTTCTTTGGATCCTTGTACTGTTCATCTCGGTTCCAGAAAGCAATGTAATCTTCCCCATCAAAGCGCAAGGAAACGTCCCCAGAAGTGGATTCCCAGGAGACGGCAACGTGGTGCCATTTATCATCAGTCCTGTGTAAGTGTAACCCACAAACAGTGATATTTTGTAAGCACACGAATACTTGAATGAGACATTGAAGCAGATGTGAGCCATGTGCCATGTGTACTCTGCCTTGGTCACTGTCAGCTTCCGACTATTAGACTTCCCGAGTTCCTATCTCCTTGCAGAAATGTCTCAAACATCATAAGCCCAGCTGCCCACTTCTCTCACGATGTGCGGGGAGATGGTCCCCATGCTCCATCGACAGCATCCGCTGACTGCTGGTAGTCATAACAGCTGTGACAATGACACCATTGCCCAACACACAAGCATGGAGGCAGACTGGAAAGGATACACGATACACTCTGCGTACTAAATATTGTAACATGTTAGATGGCCCATATTGTCCTGTTCATTCACTGCCAACCTTAACGTCCACATGTGTCCTTTGTCCTGCACAGTGTGTCTCTCTTTGCACATGGACACTGTCTTCACATAGCCTTGGATGCACAAAAATCAGGACACCAACACACTCTAAGCATTTGGCAGGACTCCTGGCAGCAGTCACAACATTACGAGCTCAATTGCTGCAGTTATTCCAGGGCAAAGTCGCATTTATTTGAACTACCGGTACCAAAGGCACAAATGCAGCAATGTTTGCTCTAATTTGCAGCCTGCAATAACCATGATGTTTGATGTTGCAGCATCATGAATGCGGCATCTTCATGGACTGGAGCAGTCACATGCCCATTGTTTGGTGTGTCTTACCAACGAGTCTGGAAGTCCACACGATCATCCAACTTGGACACTGCAGGGTTCAGGATCAGTCTGTCTGGGTTGGAATTAATATGCACTGAGATCGAACCCTTGGTGTCATCCGTCTTGGGAACTCCCTCTGCCACTTGGTATCGCCTGATCCGTATTGCATCGTCCAGCAGGCGCATCGTCTCGTCTGTGTCTCCGCCCGATTGCCTGCCAGCAGCTGCAAAGGATAATATTTCTGCATCTTCATCGTTGACCACAGGAGCCCTCGCCCAAAACTCGATGGTGATGTCCTTTTTGGGCATGTTTGTCTGGTTAGGCACAGGCATGCTCATCAGCACCTCGATGGAAAAACGTTACTCTGTTAGCATATGGAAGACATGAGTTAGATTGGGTATCCCCTTCCCAAGCAATAATTCTTGCAACACTCTTCTCCATACTGTGGGAGCTGATGCAGAAACGTCTGTGGGCAACAGGACAAGTAAGCAAATGCAAGGTGACTCAACTCAAGCAAACAGTGGAAGGAATGGGGGGACAGCACTGGTCACTGGCAAATTTTGTGGTGCTAGAGCCATGCCAAGCAACAGCAATCAATGCATGAATATGGCGATTGCCTTTGCACTGGCTTAGTACCGGGACACAGGAAGACGGGCCCTGAACGGTGTTACAGCTTTGAACAGCCATGCAGCATCGCTCATGCCACATGTGTGGAGTCCATGTTGGCAGTGGCCAGTCTGCAAGTGTGTGGGCAGTGGCAGAACATACTAAAAAATTGCTTGAGCATGGAGAGTGCTGTGCAAAGCCCCGTATTCGCCATGAAAGGTTCCAAATCAAGGTTCAAGAGTCTGATGGAAGGGGCCGCTTTTTGAAGCTGCTGTGCTGAGCAGCTGATGCTGTTTGTGGTGGAAAGAACACAACTGGATAGCAAGGCTGTCACAGTGGATTGCCAGCAGGATTAGCTTCTTCTGGTTTCTCAAGTGGCCCTTCTTTGAGCAGCAGCATCACATCACCGTGGGAAGTCAAGAAGTCCCAAAGTCGACAATGTCACATCCACACCACTTACAATGCTCTGATTCATCGCATAATTCCCCATGAACTTCAGAGCCCCAGTCGACAGCTTGCCCTGAGGAAAGCAATCCCATCACAGTCACAACCAGATTGTTTGAGGACACAGGAGCAAGGGCTGCCCTGACTGCACATCCATAATCGCCGCCCAGGGCAGCATTGTTCTATTAGTTGATCTCAATCGTTTCCTGTCCAGAGCATACAATGCACTTCTGGTGGAACACTAGTCTTGCTGTGGAAGCAGAATGACCACATCGAACCCCAAAAGTTTTGCACATCATGCAAATCCAGAATCGTCACTCTGCTTATGTAAAACATAGTGGCAGGTAACAGTGGTGCAAATTGGCATAATTCGTGTTCATAAATGGTGTCATCGTCCTGGACATGTCAGCAAATACTGCATCTTGCATTGACCTCTTCAATGGAAAAGAACCCGACAGCCAGCCCTCACATTCTCACGAGTTGCCTTGGCTTCCCCAAGCACTACCACTTTAACGACAAAGTCGCAACATGCACTTTACTTTGCTCCTTCCAAGGCCAACTCCCAAGGCCAACTTCCAAGGCCATTGTAGTTTGAAAATACAACAACTTCAGACTCTTGGCCTTCAAAGTGCCAGGGATCACATGAGAAACTTGCACAATGCGGAAGCACCCAAGCAGGTGATTGTTTATGAGGTGTCAATGTTCACAGCTGCAATCAGAGGCACCCAACAGAGTGGCAAGGACCCTTTGCATACCTTAATATTGACCTCCTCCATTGTTGGTATCTTGAGAAGATCAAGAGTGTTTTCTGGATCACCACTCCAGTCTTTTGTGGTCCCAGTGCCATGGAAGTGTGGCCAGTCTGCAGATAGAGAAGCGCGGCACAAAGGTCATAACACAAGCAAGTCGTTCATGAAAGGCATTCCGTTCTCACAGCTCTTCCCTGTGGTGCTAACCAACAGAACAGATTCCACTTGCTGCCAGTTGGACAGATGTGCTTGGCCATCTATGGTATATGTGAAAACAACAGCGTGGCTGTATTGTTCCAGGGTTGCACGGTGCTTTTGGTTGCCACACTCTGATCAAGGACCGCCATGTCATTCTCCATTTCAGCTTCCAGGAAGTGCTTTGTTTTGCTTTGTTCTGGATTGTGGCAGCTCCTGGTGGAACATGAGAGCAACTATGTTGGCGCATTTCTTCTGTTGTGGGCAGTGTCCAACATCGCCTGATGGGTGTAAAGGCCTGATGTCTTTTGGCAGATGTAACAGCAGTGACATATTATGTGGTGACACAGTACAGTGTGCTGAATCATCAGCTATGAGATGGCAAACAAACAAAAAGCCCCAATCAGGCCAGTGACAACGGCATGCACAATCCTGCACTCCTACTGCGAAAACTCAAGTCCATCTGAGGATTTGCGAATATTGTTTGGCTTTTCCTTGTGGCCAATGGGCAGCACTGAGTTGCAATGGGGACTAGTAGGGATGCAAACATTGCAAGAAGAAAGCATTTGTTGTTCAGAATCAGCGCCTATTACCACCCAGCAATTGCAGGAGCAGTGTCACGTTATGTGGCAATAGACGCAAGCAGAACGATATCCTCACCAGCATCATCAAACTTCCAGTATGCCACCAAGTCCTCGTCATGGTCCACATGGGCCTCTGAGCAATGCAGAAATGGTTGGTGTTGTTAGCTCAATCCAGGGATCAGAACCAAACAGTATTCTCGGTGCTCCCCATTATTAATCAAGATGCTGCAACCCTCACAACAAACTCATAGGGTCACCTGCATTCTGTTGAATCGAACTGTGAACTTCGAACCCTGATTCAGCACAACGTAGAACGTGTGCCGCCCAGATCCACAGGGACCAGTCCACTTACTAGACATTGTCTGTAGAATGTCAGTCTGGCTCCTTGCTGTCTTCCAGATACGCACTTCATCCATCATGCCATAGTAGCTGAAGCCCGGATCATGACAACCTCCATAGCAACCCTGACCAACGACAAAAACTCTCAAAAACAGCCAAAAGGCAACCCTTGGTCAATGCATGACCATCGCACGGCATGCAGAACTTAAGCAATGACGGCAGCAGTGGAAGGCTGTTCCTCACCTGGTTGCCTCCCAAGGAGAGAATCCCGTTCTTTGGAAGGGCCTTCGTTCTTCCAGATTCAGAGTGCGACACTGCAGTGCCAGGGATATGAACCACAATGTCAAACAAAACTTGTCTGGAGACAACAAAACCCACACAGCAAAGGGATGTGCGTGGTGGCTGGCTGAAGTAAATGCAACCCCATCCCCCACCCCCATCCCCCTACACACCCACATTAAAGGCAGAGCAGCAGGGTTGCTTACCTTGGAGGCCATTCATGTATATTCGAATTACCCCTTCATTGGCAGCCTCCCATGTGACTGCAAGATGGTTCCAGGCACCCGTTCGCTCACTGAAATCAGTCCCCGCAGACACAAACTTGCCCTGCATTTCCCAACAGCAGCTCATTGAATTTTCTGATACACCCAAAGCACAGCACATTTGGGTAACATTATCCTTGCAGAGGGAATCTGATGCCCTTTCCTTCATTGGGTGTCCTTTTAGTTTCTCTGACAGCAAATGTCAACCAACAGTCCAGAAGAAACTGTTGAGCATGAATAAGTGCTTGTCCTTCTTGCCTTGGTGCAAGGGCAGAGGTTGTCCTCTGTTGAAAAATGCACCTAAATATGTGCAGACCGCATGTACAGCAACATGGCAACATACACACTAAGTGCAAATAATACATGCAAAGCCCAAGTCAGATTCTGGCCTATCGCTTGCTAGTATATAGGTTCCAGGACTCCAGCACTGTAGAATTACAAACTTTGAAGACTCAGGCTTGGAATGCAAGTGTATTTGCCTTACTGCCCTTTCAACAGAAAGCCAACGAGTCACACAATGAGATTACACTTGCACAACAGTCACAACATGCAATGCAGGTAGCAGGCTCAACACCAGCCCAGGCTCAATACCTGGGGTGTGCTGACCAGCCCAGTGGTGTATGACTTAAAGCACTTGTCCATTTCAGCACCTGGCAGTGACACGCCATGCCTCAGCGCACGCCAGTGAGCACAGCATTCCAGTGTCGACAGAAGGCAGCCAATCAACAGCAAAGCATAGCATTAATTGTGGCCAACATTTGAGGTGTGGCAGTGGCCATGTCAATTGACAAACTGGAGGGTACTGCATCTGCTGCTTTCTTACAACAGCAGGTTCAGGGGGTTGCAATGGCCTTTGAACAAGAGATTGCTGAACTTGGGGCAGCCCACAGCATGCTCTCACTAAAAGAGTGGCATCCAAGATGTATCAAGAGCAAAACCATCTTGCACTATTCACGTGCTTCTGACCTGTCCAAATCAACAAGCCATGTTGTGTTTTGATGGTTACAATTGCAGAAGGCAATGGTCTTTGGGACACAATCCTGACATTGGCAACATGCTTTTGGGTGCTGCACCTTGCGATGCCAATAAAAATGGTTATAAAGTCGACAAACATTATCAATGCAGAAATCCACGCCAACGGCATACTGCAATTCAGTTGCTACATCCTTTGCCAGCACCCCATAGCCAGTGCATGCCTTCCCAAAACTCTGGCTGGCATGCTCGCAAAGAGCACAGGAAAATATGTTTGCACATCTTCGCAGTTCAAATCCCAATGTCTTACCTCTAACTTCCAAGGACCCAGAGTAGTGGCAAGCCAACAGATCCTAAGCACAACACACAATTTAAGGTGCTCCAAATGGGGAGCAGTGCTGAGACAAGATAACGTGTCATCCACAGGCATGACATGACTCCTTTGAGCGACGCAATCAGATGTTTGTCCACACCACACAAAGATGTTATATAATGCATTACGTTATCTAGAATGTGTGCATGTGTGCACCTGTGTGTTGCCGAGTCTTAAAGGAGAAGCTTGCAACGTGTGCACCTGTGTGTTGCCGAGTCTTAAAGGAGAAGCTTGCAACGATGAAAGGCAGCCTACATCTCAATGGCAACAACAAGAACTCGCACCGTGGGTTTGAAGATGACAAACTCATCAAAGTCCTTATCATCTGGCTTGGACTTGGAGGCGTATGAAAACAATGTTCCTGAGCACTGGAAAAGTCAGCAAATGTGCCATGCCAAAGATGAGTCAAAAGGTTAGCGCAGCACAAGATCTGTCTCCATGAGCGTGCCACAATCAATAAAGCAGAAAGGCCTCTGTGCACCAAGTGTGATGATCGAGCATCAGAAACTAGCCAGAACATCAGCAAGGCAAAGAAAACGCATCTTTTTGTGAGAACTGTCCTGCGGACAGCTGCACCACAAAATCAAAAGCACAACTGTTTGCTTCATGACACATCAAGACTTTACTCCACTTCAGACAGAGTTGAAAGAAAGAGGACTTCAATTCTCAAGAAGCCAAGTGTTGAGGGTGTAGATGTTAAACCTAGTCCAAATTAAGGTTCATCTTAATGCAGACTGAGGTTTGGCCCTACAAACAAGGAAAACCTAAACACTGAAACCCAAAAACTACATACAAACACATAAAACCTTCGTGACCATCATCTCCTGGTTCGAAGATTATCAAACATTTGTGCTCCACATGGCTGGACTAGCTTGAACCTCAATTTGGACTAGGTTGAGTCCCAGTGGAGGAAGAACTAGTTCAAATCGAGCGTGGACTTGATTGAACCTTGGTTTAGACCACTTCGAATGTATTTTCCAAATTGTTAATGCGCCACAATAACAAGATTCGCCCCACAAAGCATTCAGGCCACATAAGCACCACCTTGCACATCTGAACCTGTACCACCTGCAGAATTTCTGGCCATTCCAGAAGACATTACTTCCCAGGGCGACACATGCAGACTAGGGGCAGGTTCACCCCCGCATACACCAAACAACACATCCTCTCTAAGATGTTCTCTCACCCCCTACCATTCTTACAGTTGTCCGAGGTACTTATCCAGGCCTCAAATGTGAAAGCGTCTGTGGGAAAGTCCTGTAAAAAACCCATTGATACCTCACACCCCAGGACCACAGGAATACATCAAAACAGCAGATCCCCAGTGTTGGCAGCGATGCAATAGTCTGCCACAATCTTCTGTCCATTCTGTCAGTCATTGCTGCCACAGCCACTAGCCATTCGAGAGACACTGCTGACATATGCAACGATGACCAACAGCAATCAATCAATTGATCAATTGGCAGTTGAGCTGTTGGTCGATGAGTGGCAAGATATCCAAATCTCTCACCTCAAAGCTTTCCTTCAGCAGGGGAGTGCCATGAAAGACAAGAGCATACCCGGCCCCTCCAGGTTTTGGCGGCTCATTTGGGGGTGCAGCCGCCTCTACCACGATTATGGCTGCATTTTGTAGGTCCACAGAGAGACATTCAGGCGATGGAAGCTAACTCTATTGCCACATTCTCCAACACTGTTTGAGTGTCCAATTGTACCCAAACGAAAGTCAACTACAAGTGTCTTGCAAGTAGCCAGCCACCAGCCTAATGGTAGAAACCCTGCAGCCCAGCAAGCCACGTTCTGTGGTACAGGAACTGGAGCCATACCACGGATACACTATGGGTTGTTCTGTTTGGGGATATGTCCCAAATTCTATGGCACACATGAATTGCACTGCCACACTCAATCAGCAGGGATCGCAGCTTTAATGCTCTCCCTCTGTGGTCTCTGGCTGAAATGCATGCTGTGCCAGTCTGTCAGCGTTCTTGTCAAATATTGCTTCTGCCCATGCAACTGCAACAGAATTCGGCATGTGTGGCGCAATAGTTGCAAGCCTCTGACAACTTGCACTGGGAAGCACTGCTGGTGTCCAACTGCTTATGTTCTCCCAGGACAAATAACCCAGGAGTGCAGACCACCATGGCATTCATTTTTAACTGGAAGCAATCATATACTCACCTTTTTGACACATCCGGATGGAGCACGATCCAACACAGACTCCTATTGGGTAAGGTTGCATGACAACTGACAAATATTTAACATCCAAACTCGCACTTGCTTACCAGGGAGCAGTGTGCAAATCAAGAATGCAGATGCTGCCATGCAGCGCTGTGGCCCCCTTCTTCTGTGCATTGCCACCAAATGCACACCGTCCAGAGCAATCTTGATGCCAGTCACTTCCAATTGACTGGAAAAACCAAAATCATACCTCAGCTGCATCCACGAGGGTAGTCAGCACTTGTGCAATGCAAAAGTTTGGGAAGAAAGCTCACTTCGGAAATTCAAAAGACATTTTTCAATGCCTGTGAATGACTGGCTGTAGGATCACACAACGTCAGGGATGCCAATCTTGAACAGCAAGAAACAATTTAGTTCTGCACTCCAAATGTGGTCAACTGCTGAAAATCGTTTACCTGTGCCAACACTGGTGCAGACCAACTTAGTGTTAGCTAACAGACACGATTGTGGTTGTTGTTGTTGTTGTGTGTGGGGTGGGGGGTGTGGGGGGGGTTACTAATGCTAATAACAAATTCGGCAAAACATCACACCAAATCTCCCCAATTCGCCCCACCAACGCCAATCCCGCATCAGATTCGCATCTTTGAAATCGGGCGCCCACTTTCCTAGCCAGCGTCAGCATACGCACACCGGCGACCTAAACCCGTCCCCAATTTCCCACCACAGCACCACCTCGGAACTGCCCATGAGCCCCGCCTTTGCGCTTTTAATTATCGCCATAATTGCTTCCACCGTCGACACCCGGAACGTGGCCGCGGCCAGTGTGGTCCAGTATCCCGGCAGTGACAAGCGCGTCCCGACGCCCAGCGCCCACCCAGCGCCCCTCGCCGCGCGCCCGCCTCAAAGCCGCCGCCTAAACAGCACCACCGCCGTGGCAAGATCTAGCCAATGCCACTGGGTCCCCCGGCCTCTACGCGCGGCGCCCCCAACCACCCATCTGGGCCATGATCCCCCGCGCAGCCGCCCCGACTCAAGCCCCAAATGCCAGCACATCCGCCCCCCAAACCGCCCACAAGCCGAAAGATCCAACCGGATCGAGATCGCGACGCTCCGCGGAGCGCGGCGCGACGTTCGGGGCGGCCGGGCGGCAGATGTCGCGATGCCGGGCAGCGTCTGCGCAGCAGATTCCCGCGCGAGGCAGATCGCAGGCGGCCCACCTGCGACCGTGCAAGGCGTCAGCGGGGCGTTTGCGCGCCGGGAGCCGTCCCTTCGACGCCGGCGGGGCGAGGCCCGGGGAGGGGGCAAACCGGGGCGGTCGCTCTGCCCGTCGCGCTCGGGACAGCGCACCCTGGCCCGTCGAATGGACGAGGAGCCCCGGCCTGGATATTGACGACGCCATGGGTATCGATGCGGGTCATTGAAGGCGGGAAATGATGTGACAAGGTCCCATTGCCGGCGTCCCAGGCGGTCATGCACAGCGCACGCGCAGTTGGTCGGAAGCCGGTGGAGGCTTTGTTGCAATACGGCCAAAATTGGTGGCATTGGGGCGTTTGTCGCCTGGCGGGCAGGCGGCGCCCTGGCGCACTTTCAAGGCAGCTTGTCTTTTTGGGAGCGCACAATCACACCACTGAAAACACCACCTTGACCGTATGGCGCGTGCTTTGAGTTCCTGGAGCAGTACGGGGCGTGCTGTGGCCAAGATTTGCTGGGGAAGGCGATGGAAGGATATTCCCGGAATGTTGGTGGTCTGTTTTCCGAATGTTGGTTTGGATACGCCAGAAAGTGTTGCCGAAACTTCGAATTGACAATTGGCAGTCGAATATTTCCATCTGCGTGAGAAAAAGGTGGAACGAGGTGGATGGTTTGCAACGACCACCGATATTCAGTTCCTGCCATCCAGCCGGGCGAGGCAAATCAACATGCAAGCTGCAGAGCACAGTCCAGAAATCTTTGCCGCATGCAGGTTGACAGGCTATGGCCGTTCAGCCTTGCGTTAGTGGCACCATTGACAAGCTCATGCTGGAGTGTGCTCTTTGGGCTGTGCAGTTCATGTCGTGACAGCAGCAAGTAATGCGAAGTAAATAGAAATATGCTACCTCCATGACAAAGCCAACACAAAATCCTAGGAAATCCCGATGAACAAACTTCAACATTTAGTGATTTTCATCACTGAACCGATGCTGTTCAGTGTCGTATTTGCAGCACGACCATCCAGTATGCACGTCTCCCATGACCTCCCATGACCTTTTACTGTTGCCTTGGTGCTCTTTGGAAATGCATCCAACAGACCATCAAGCACAGTATACCCATGTGGAAGGCCATGATCTGCAGGTCACGTGCAGGGCAAAAGTTTCAGTGTGGAATGTGCCTTCCTCAAGGCAACTGACAATTGCCAGCCTCTACTTTTCACAGTGGTTGTTGTCCAAGTGCAAGCGTGGCACTTGTTGATGTGCCCAGCAACAGCAAGGGCAGTGACTTGTGACATTGGATAAGCTCTGTGAATGCAGATCAACTTTGTGAATGCAGAATCATGGCCATTGCCAATCAAAAGGAGTTATAACAAGGCAGAGAAAGGGCTGCAGCTTCATTTTGAGAAGGCAGAGAGCAGAGCCGTCCGTGCTGAGTGGTATGCCATTCATGGGCTAGCGCAACATCGAATGTCTGTACATAAAATGATGCAATGTGTTGCACATCCTTCAGTACCACAGGGGCAGAAGCTGCTATTCAGTATTCTGAGTGTTCGATGGCAGCAATCTCTGCGAATCCACGGTTCCAGGCAAGCCTCAAACCTTGCAACAATTTCTCTACACAGATGGTATTGCCAGTCCGGCAAATCCAACCCCTATGAGCAAATGCACATGTACCCAGGCAAAAGTCCAGTGAACAACCCAAACCTGAGCTATTCAGGTGTGGCCAAGCAAAACAAATCATTTTCTACGCTTTATATCAGACCTCTTCAGCGCCCACCACTGCTTTTTCTTTCAGTGTGAGCAAGTTAGGTTCCCTCAGAGCTAAATGTGTGCAGCTCATCCACCACAGTACAGCTAGTGCACTGTGCCGAGGTTGGTGTTGTGGCCTTCACTAAGAACTATCCCATTGGTACTCAGAGGACCAATCCTCTGTCCTTTCGCTCCACAGTTCTCCCTTCCATCAGCAGCAGAGACCCATTCGTTTACAGCTGCCCCCCATGAGCTCAAACAGCCAGTCTTTTTGCCCACTCCGCGACACTCTATTTCTCCTGCAGCTTGCATCCACATATGGGGGGTCTACTTTGGCTTGGCGAAGCCGGGAATCTTCAATGTCTGCAGCAGGCGCGTGTTGGGCATCCAGTCCTTCGCCATCCTCTTCCTGTCCCTGAGGTCCCTCAGGTCGCCCGTGCTCCAGGCGCGCGGCATCCTGTTGGACCTCCACAGAAGGTACAGCCAATACAGGAATGCCAGCACGTGGAAGGCGATCAGCACCACAAGGAGCAGCCCCCAGCCGTGAAGCAGTCCGCCCCGCGGCTCGATGTGCTGGGGGTGCAGCTTCAGGTCCTGGACGGTCACCGGAGTGGGCGCCATCTTCCACCAGGTCGCTGTGACCTCTGCCAACCCCTTGTTTCCCCTCTGTCCTCTCTTTCAAACAGGGGATGAGCGCCCGATGGTTGCCCTGCCCTTTTCGCCTTCAGCCCCCACCCTTGGTGTCTTGGGGCCTTCTACCTCCCCCGTGCACCGCGTCCCTACGCCCTCCTCGTTCAAGGCCCCTCTCTGCTCTTTCGCGCTCTCCCGCGCGCGTTTCTCTTCACTCCTTATGCTCTGGGGCCTTTTTCGCGGGCGACCAGACCAGCAGAACAATCCAGACAATGAAGGCTATAAGGTGCACACCAACCAGGGCGTAGATCAGGCTCCCGTAGCCCATGAACAAGTCGCCGCTTTCGTGAACTCCATCTGCCATTCGACGCCCCTGGACAAACCACGGGGGCGCCGTGCAGGATGTAACACACCGTCCTCCCCAATCAATCAACTTGGGTTCGAGCATGGGAACGCATTCCGCCCGCGCGCTGCTCACCTTGGCAATGCGGCGGTTTGATCAACGCCGGGCGGGTCGCCCTCGGCCAGGCGGCTTGTTCCGTGTCGCAACCGCGCAGCGGGGCCCCAGCTGGAACGCGTTTGCCCCCAGTGCAAAACCCCAAACTCTCTGAAAACCGGGTGTCGCGGGTGAGTTTGAGGGGCGCGCTTGTTACGCTTGGTCGGTGCAGGGTACTGTGACTCAGGGCCGTAATTGGGTGCCACACTTGCAAAAAAACGGGAATGCGACCCTGACGCACCTGCTGGGCTCCGTTCCTGCTGGAGTCCAATCCCTTAAGTGCCACTCAACCCAGCAGTTGCAGTTCTGAGCACCGGGCTTTTGTTCTCTCTACTTGCTGCCTGCGCGGCCCCGTTCTTCGCGGAGCAACAGCAAAGATGGTGCGTGCGGCGCACGCGAGTCTTGCCTCGGCAGACTGGAAGCAGGCGTGGCCAGCAGGACTGACGCGGTGTGCGCTTGCTGCCCCAGCCGGCCAAACCCCAGCAGAGCAAGGAGGCCAAGGCCATGGCCGCCGCGAACGCGAGCAAGGGAAAGAAGAAGGTGCGGATCGGAAATGGCCGCGTTCGGCAAATCTTGGCCGCGGATTGGCCCCTTTGAGCCGCGGCGGCCGTCATCGGCGTTTGGAATCCGGGGCCGGAACCTGACAGCCGCCGGATTGGCGCTGGTGTTGCAGAAGTGGTCCAAGGGAAAGGTCAAGGAGAAGGTGAACAACATGGTCGTCTTCGACAAGGTGAGCCAATCTGGCGCTGCTCCGGGCCCGGCTGAGCCCGTGCCGGTTCGTGTGGGGTAGGGGATCTGATGATTCCTGTTTGCACAGGCGACGCACGAGAAGCTGATGTCGGAGGTGCCCACGTACAGGATGATTACTCCCTCTGTGCTGTCTGACCGGCTGAGGGTGAGTGTTGGCGCTGAGAGCGCCCTCAGGCTGTGCAATCCTTGCGATGGTCGCCAGGCAAATGCCTGGAGCAGTCGCCGGCGGTGCTGGTGCGCGCTCATGCCACCAGGGTGTGTTTGCCGCTGCACAGCACCCGTGGCTGTGGCTGTTCGCGTCGGTGTTTGCGTCAGTGTTCTTGTTCTGATGATCAGAATTCTTGGTGGTTCAAGACAGCACTGTGCCTTCGTCCTGTGGTAGGATCTCCATTGTGTCCACAACAAAGAATCTTATCCCTGCATGGGATTATCCTGCCCCCAAGTGTAGCGCGCACGTGTGTCCATCTGTGTGCTGTTTTTGACCAGAATGCAAGAAGGTCAACGCTGAAAACAATGGGATGTCCACATCGCTTGCTTGTAAATGTCCGATGCATGTGTGTGGGCAGATAAACGGCAGTCTGGCACGTGCCGCGATCAGGGATCTTTTGGAGAAGGGTGTCATCCGTGAGGTCTCTGTCGATGCCACTCAGAAAATCTACACCCGGGCCACCAACAAGTGAGGTGATTACACCCAGACAGTCGCAGCAGATTCTGACCAGTTTCGATGTCGCCAGTGGTGACGCCAGGTGGTGAGGCAGGGACAAATCTCCACATTGTGGTGTGCTTCTGCTGCCTTTTGAGGCGTTTGCCAGCAATATCCTGCAGTTTGCAGCAGAGTTTCCATTGGCTGTATTGTTGGAGGTGGATAGCTGTGCGTTGTTGTCCTTCGTTGTTTTTTGCAGATGCAGCCCATCGTCATTGTCTTGTTGCCGCCTGCAGCCCACCAATTCCATGTTTGTGTTTTGGTTGTGTCAGGACCTAGCTTGGTTAACATGAAGAGAGCTGGAAACATGAAAAGCTGAGAAACACTTCTGCGCCATGTCTGCTGAAGTTGATGGTCGCTTGCTGATGACATTGCGAAACTCTGGTGCACCTGTTGCCAAAATGCGCAGACTGTGGCATCTGCGAATACAGCAGGGGTACATCGATGCATATGGTTTCTGTGCACTCTGGCTGCCAAAATTTTCTGCTGCACAGCAAGGTCTTGGCCCAGGACAAGAGATTAATGTATTCTTTCCTGTGAGTGAATCCAGGGCAAAAGAGGTGGATTGGCTCAACAAGCCACCTGCGGTGGTCTTTGTTCCAATCAAGTGTGTGCAATCTGTCCAAATCGAGGGTTACCCCAGCTTGTCGACTATGCATAATGAATGTTCAGTCTACACAATGCCTTTATTAAGGTATCCAAAGAGCCCTGATCGCATGTAATTGATCGCAGCCCCCAAATAGGCTTTATAGTTTACCCGATGCGGTTCTTGCATTGAAAGCTGTTCACAACCTGCCCCATATGAGGCTCACCGCAATCGGTCTTTGACCCCTTGTGTCTCAGAGACAAGTCTGAGTGCCGGCAGTCGCTTGAATCACAGTTGAGCCAAAGAGAAGGAGAACAGGTGGGTATTCACTCCCATCTGGAACAGTTCCAACCAAAGGGCCATAATCTGCCTCGATCTAAGCTCATCCCACCTTGGTCGATTGCTGCGAGATCAAATGCCAAAGTTTCAGGTATCCTTTGCATCTAGAAGATCACAGTAGAGTCCGCAACGAGGAAGAAAGTTGGCCCCAAGAAACAGAGCCCAGAGGAAGCGGCGCCAGAAAAAACTGGTGGCCCCTGGTAACTGGGCGCCAAGGAACATGGCCTCAAGGGACATGGCTTCGCCAATGCCTCCACCCCAAAAGAGTTCCACTTGAAGAGTTTGGCCTCGTGGCAATGGGCCTAAGGCAACTTGGAAGTTCACATGAACTGATGGACCATCCCGCGGTGGGGAATGGCGCGCGCTAAGCGTTGTTCACCTGCGCTTGCAGGGGCGCAGCCGCTCGCTGTGCTCAGCCCTCATCCCTGAATGTCGGTATTGGAGTCCACGGGAGCTGGGGGTGTCATGGTGCAGCCTCCACTGCCGAGCACATGAGTTATCCTGCAGCTATGCAGATTGCGCCGAATCCATCTACCGATCCCTGGCTTCGGCAAGCGCAAGCCTCCTGTGAGACTCAACAAGCTGCGAGAGCGACGTGCACAAACCATCACCCCTGTGTGCAGGATCCTGGGGTCCGTCGGCAAAATTTGCGCACTTTGTGCGCATCGATGTCAGGTGCTGTTCCAAGCGGGCGTTCACAAAGCAGTTTCGCTGTGCATAATCGTCCGGCAACTCGCCGTTTCCAGCGATACTGGTAATATGACCTAGTGCTCCTGTTCGGGTCGCCAGTAAATGGGGCACATCAAATTATCAAGTTAATGATATCGCTCAGCTGGCGACCTGTGAGATCCAGAAATGATGCAGAGGGGATGTCGACAGCCTCAGCACCTTCGTCACACTGATTATCATCCAGTAGGTTTGCGCTCAATTAGGCAGAAAACCCCAAACATCAATCAGGGGTGCTCCAACATTTTCTCGCAATCCAAGCCCAAGACACTTATAATGCAAGGAGATGACTTCAGTGACAAAAAGAGACCATGGCAGCCTCACTATATGCCCAAAGAACCCAAAGCAATGCATTTGTGATGCCGGACACAGCTCCAGTACGTGGCAGCGCCCGTCATGGGCACACCGGTGTCAGACACGTTTGAAGAACACCATGAAGTAATGGGAAGCACGCAGGTCGCTGTTGGGCATGTGCGTTTGCTTTGGCAAGGGGTACAGCCGTGCGCGACCGAATGCAGAAAAGCTTGCGAGTCGGGCTGCGTCGGTTTTTCCGAGCAATGCCCGTTGATCGAGCCAGGACGACCTTGGCTGGCCATAGTGCTGCCGGTGGGGGATGGCAGACACAAGACCGAATCGCCGATTGAGATGGATCGAGGTCGAAGTTGCAAGGGGGGGTCTGGCGAACGGGGAGGCCTTTCCCACTGTGTGGTCGGCTGTGTGGCGGAGCGCCGTGAGTTCGAGCGAGCGCGGGCGCCGTGGATGAGCGGAATGGGAGGTCGCAGGGCTGATGCGAGAGGCATGCAAATCTTCTGCAGCTGGATTTGTCATCCTGGCATGGTGCTGAAGAATTCTGGCGTCCTGTGGCGTGCAAGCTGCTCAGAAGTGTGCCCCCTAGCTCAGAGCAAGATGGTTTGTCACGGAAGGCTGGGTGCCATCAGTCAGAAAAATGGACCTGTGAAAGTTGATCGAATCTGGAATTGAAAGGATCAATCAGTTGCAAGTCAAACTTGCAATGTGCTGTTGCTATCCCAACTTATATAGAGGTGTTTTAAAAAAATCATTTGCAAAAGACTTCACCTCAAACGGATCCTTACTTTACGTCCGGCTTCCTGCGGCTTCCCGCCCAGGCACGCAGTGCGGCGCAAGTAGATGATATTACATAATACAACAATCCAAACGCAGTGTCCCCGAAGTACTCATTCATTGGAAAGTGTGCCTTGTCCGGTCCCTGTCACCTCGTGACTAAGCGATCTCCAAAAGATCAAATATCCAGCGCAGCCAATCCCCCCCAGGTGTGGGAGGGAGGGCGAAAACGAAGTGAGGTGTGTGCGCGCTGTTACGCGCACCAGCCTGATGTGGGAGACGTCCTACTAATGGCCCTTGGTGTGGGGGACGCCCTGCCCAAGGCACGTACTATTCCTCACCCACTGTAACCTTTATCCATATTAGGATACGGGAGTAGGAGGGGTGGTCCCGCCTAGGTGCCCTGTAAGGACCTAGGTGCCCGGCGAGGCGGGTCCGCTGCTCAAAGAGGGCAGGAACCCCACACCCACATCCTATTCGTAACATTTGGTTTCGGAGCCGCCTGAGGGTGGCGACCACGCTTCCACCTGGGAGCGCGCGAGAGTACAAGACGCCGAAGCCCTTCCCCGGCCTCCTCCATGGAGGCTAAGGAATCGGAGGAACAAGCCCGGGATGGGCAGGGGGAAGGACAAGCCCGGGATGGGCAGGCGATCGAAACAGCCCGGGATGGGCAAGGAACTGAACAAGCCCGGGATGGGCCAGGAGGTGTAACAGTCCGGGAGGACATGGTTGGACCCTCCACAGCCACATCGGCACCCGCAGCAGAAGATGAGCCGATGGAAGAAGTGGATACCCCGCCGGCGGCGGAGAAGACACAGGAGCAAGACCAGGACGCTGAGGCGGCGGGGACGTTGCTGAAGATCCCTGGTATCAAAGAGCTCCTGCAGAAGATGGCGGATACCGCGGCCGAGAAGGCGAGAGCGAAGCGGGATGAAGAGACCGCCGAGAGGATCGCCTCGCTGGAGATCGCCGCCAACAAGGCCAAGAAAGAAGCTCGAGAAAAAGAGCTGGCCATGAAGAAGGCGAAGCAGCAGAGCCGCGAGGCCCAAGAAGCCAAAACCTCCGCCGAAGACCAAGTCAAGGCGCTGAGTGACCGCCTCCTGAAGCAAAAGCAGCGGGCCCAGGAGGCAGAAGAGAGAAGCGCCCAACAGGTGGTGCCAGCTGTGAGGGCCCCCAGTCCGTCGGAGCTGCCCATGCCAACCATCCCAGAGGAAGACTGGAAGGTTGCTGGCAAGCAGCGCTCCAAGCGGAAGAGTCCATCGCCAGGTGAGCGGCCGATGGGAAGTGAGAAATCTCCATATCAAGGCCGGGAGGCCAAAGCCTTAGGGCGAGTTGAGAGAATGCAAGGCCGGAAGGTCAAGATCCCGGAGCTACGGCTCAAATCCCAGGTGTACGTGAGAACACCTAGTGGATCGGACGGGACTGGAGATGAGTCGCTCACAGAAAGCGCTCAAGCTGTTTGCGGAAAAAGTCCGCCAAGGCCGGGAGGCCATAATTGGAGCCCTCGGAGGCCTGCGCTACCAGAATGGGGGCCGGGTGAAAGCTCAAGGGTGCCGGAGTTCGTTCCAGACACTCGAGATCCATATAGCCGGCAACCACCGTGCCGTGCAATGTGGACAAAGTTCCACAGTGATCTCGTCGATGAGCTTGACGAGGGATGGCGGATGGCCGCCGACCAGTTTGGAGAAAGGTTAACCACCGCCAGACTGGTTAGAATACAAAGGTGGTATGGTCCTGGAATGGCAGATCAAATTGCCAAAAAGGACCCAAATTGGCCAGACAAGATGGCCTTTGCGCTCAGGCATATCCCGGAACCATGGGACTTGAGCGAGGGGAGTCCAGAGAGACCAGACCCTAATGATCCCCACGAGCGGTGGGAGGAGATCTCGGAGTTGTCGTTCTCATCATGTGCTTCTCCTTTGCCGGGTGATATGTCAACCCGTGCACAAGTGCATAGGATGGAGAAGGAGAGACGACGGATTCGTAACCGAGATCGTTTTGCTCGGGTAAAGAAATTAGACGAGCAAAAGGCCAGAAAGGCCAAACAGCGGAGAGAATTGAAAGCGCTGCGACGTGAGCGGGATCGTCAATTGAATCCTGAAAAGTATGAGTGTAAGCGAGCTCACAAACGCCAGCGCAAGGCTGAGATCAAGCGGTTTTTCTCCGCAGGAGGCAGCCAAAAGGCGCAGCGCCTGGAGGTACAGCCCAAGGTCGATGAGTTGGACCCGGCCGAGCAGGCTAAGGCCTTTGCCCGTATTGCCAAGGAGGGGACCTCCACCCGCTGGGCAGACCAGCAGGACAGTAGCGGCAGTGACAGTGGTGTAAACCACCCTGCCTGCTTTGTCCCTACCCAACCGGAACCGGCATCGCCATCGGTTGTGGTAACCAGCGGTCCTAAGGTGCAAAGGATGCCGGAGAGGGAGATCCCGCTTGGAGAAGCAAAGGCGAAAGAACAGCCTGATAAGGCAAAAGACCCGCCTGCAGAGGCAAGAATACAGCCTAGAAAGGCAAAGGAGGAATCCAAAGGCCCGCAAAGGCCAGTCTCAGGTAATCATCCTGTTGAACTGTCTTTGCTGCGACCTGCTGTGAAGAATACACAGACGCGTAACCGTGCAGAAGTTGGTGATTCTGCTGGTAACGATGAGATTGTGTATCTCGGTTCAGCAGGTGAACCTGCCAGTCCAATTCCCCGGGAAAGACGGGAGACCTATGAGATCTTGCAGAGGCAGGAAGCTGCTTTGCAGAAAGCAAAGGCGGATGCAGAGAAAGTTGCACAGCTTCGTTCCTTGATGGGGGATGAAGACTATGCAGCATATCTGGAGCTGCAAGAAGCAAAGCAGATTTCTCATGGACGGCAGGAAATTGCCTACAAACCGGCGAAACCGGTGCCTGGATACCAGGAACGCCGCGCCCAGCAAATGGCGGCTGATCAAAGTGGACGTGCCAAGGTGCCGCACGAGGCTGCAAAGCCCACCCCAGTGATGCGTG